GGAAAGCTTTGGGGGAAAAAGACGAAAAACTAAGTTTAGCATTACGACATGTTAATCGTGGGTGAGTGGCGTGCAATGCAAAAAAAAAAAAAAAAAAAAAAAAAAAAACAAAAAAAAAAAAAAAAAAAAAAAAAAAAAAAAAAAATAAAAAGGGGGAGGGAGGGGAAAAAAAAAAAAAAAAAAAAAAAAAAAAAAAAAAAACCCAAAAAAAAAAAAAAAAAAAAACCAACATATTTATTTACTAAACCAAAGTGAGCAAAAAGATAGTTCCATCAGACCTAGTGCGCACATATTCGAATCTCAGCAACTAAGCAGCAAAAAAAAAAAAAAAAAAAAAAAAAAAAAAAAAAAAAAACCAAAAAAAAAAAAAAAAAAAAACCAACATATTTATTTACTAAACCAAAGTGAGCAAAAAGATAGTTCCATCAGACCTAGTGCGCACATATTCGAATCTCAGCAACTAAGCAGCAAAACAGTTTAGTGAGATTTGTGAAACTTACGTTTGGCTTTCAAGATATAATCAATGTTTGGTTTGGAAGTGCTGCATCCTATCAAGAGAATTGCTTTTAAATGTTCATTTGTCAATCTCATTCGATGTGTTGACTTCACATACTTCATTTTGAAAAATGTTTGGTCACTAAAAATAAGTTGTTCCATGCATGCTGCAAACGGATGCCAACTCTTCCGTTATCCGAAAGTCCAAACTGACACCACAAATAAACACGAGAAGTTGGGAGAGATCCGTAGACTCATCCAGTGCCAGAGAATACCACAGCAACTTCCTGGCTTTCTCACGCATATGTAGCACTATGTTCTCCCCAAGTTCTTCAGTTCTCCGCACAACTGAACTTGCCGAAGGGCTGTCAGATCCAACCGAGACAACTACAATTTTTGATCCCCCCCCCCCCCAACCCGTTTCCAACACTCCTATTTCTTTCATCCATTTACAGTTTGTCGTAGTAATCAGGCGATAATCAATTAGCGGGATTAGGCTTAATAGAAATGGATTCTTATTTTATAATTTTTTTTTAAAGCCAGCTTTACCTAAAAATGACAACCTCAAGTTACTTTACTTGGTAGGTTTTTTTAAAATGAGGTCATCATTTGTTAATTAATTCTTATTTAAATACTTCCTTGTTTTATGCTGATCAGAATTGAGTTTGAACCACCTTAAATTTAACTAGGAACTTTATTTTTAACAGTGATTATAGACTGTGTTAATGTGATCTGTACGTCCACTCAATATGAATTTATATCTATAGCAAATACACGTCTACAAAACAAAGTGACCGCTGACCGCAGATTGTATTATAAACGTCGGTCATCTACTTTTAGGAGTTAACTTTTTTTGACGCGTAGTTATTGTATTCATTATATTATATATACTGTATATATTTATTTTTTAACTATTAGGATACCGTATTGTACGATTTTAAGACGATATTGTACGATTTTAGAAGTTCAAGGGTAAACAGGTCTGTAATAAAAAAGAAAATCTAGCTACAACAATTTAAAATTGAAAATGGTAAATTAAGGCGCAAGCAGCGAGGAGGTCTCCGCACGTGTGAAGATCTCCTAGTGTTCTAAACATAATATTGAAATTCGAATTGTATCACAACGTCTCGTGTTCCATACGTTTTATCAAGTAATTTCAAGTACCGTCGGCGGGCTGGATGAACTGGCCTCGCGCCCCGTAGTTTGGTGACCCCCCTCCTTTATCTGAAATCAGTTGACACAGCCTAAAAGCCCATCGCTGGCTTCATAAGAGCATCGGTCTGTTTAAACAACAGGTCATCAAAACATGTGTAGCAAATCANGGCGGGCTGGATGAACTGGCCCCGCGCCCCGTATTTTGGTGACCCCCCTCCTTTATCTGAAAGACAAATATAAAAATGTATCTAAAAAAAAAAAAAAAAAATGAGCAAACACACGGGCGTCTTCAAGGTTTTGGGTCGGGGTTTTGATCTTTATTCGGGTTTAACTCTCCAAGGTTAGTCAATTTTGTCAAAACTTCCCTCTGTCGAAGGAACGTGTTATGTATAACGTAGCACACATTCACACCGTGACAGAGTACCTAACCGTCCAGAACACCGTGACACTACACTAAACCGGGACAGAGTACATAACCGCCTAGAACACCGTTGCTTAACTGGGATGATCCCTGTCAAACCGGAACGAATGTTACGCATTTGTAAATGGGCACTTGAAATAGCTTGGTTTCTTACGATTGTTTCAGCAAGACAATTTGGTTTTCTTTGTAGTCATGAGATCCCCACAAATGTTTTGTCATGAAAGCTAAATGAATGGTGTTTGCCTTGATCAATGTAAACTATGTTTAAAACCGGATTGGTCCAGTCTATGACTAGGACACAATTTAAACAAAAATACAGCGATAAATGACCCCGACGTCAACCCCCCGAGCCCTTATCTCGAAAATTATTGTCTTTGTTTATAGAATTCTGACCCAGCCAGTGGACAGTGGTCTTGGCGACGCTGAAGTGTTGGCCCCATGGATCTTGCGTTCAGTCATGGGCCGTCCGAAGAGTGCTTATTCAAACTTTCATATTACACACGAGTTTGTCAAGACGTCAGTCACTCAAGTTTCCGTTAGTGGCTTGAACGGAAGGAGTTCGTCTTGACAAGGCTAAACAAATGCTGAGATAAGATGTTGGAAACAATACCGTGGGGCAAACAACACGGGCAGTTCCACTGAAGAGTTGAATTAACACAATGCCAGTAGTGGTGACCCCACGCTTCTCATTAATTGTATGTGGGTAGCTTGTTCAATTATTGTATCAATGATGTGCTTTTAACGAGGTTTGGCTGTTAGCCCAACAGTGCAACCAAACTTCTAACGATACATCCAACCCGACATTGCAAACTAACATCTGACCTTACTTACATCCAACCAAACATGCAACCCAACATATGACCATACAAAAAACCAAACATCCAACCCAACATCTGTCCGTACATGCAACAAAACATTCAACTACAACCCTGCTACTTCGAACTTCAGACTAGTGTGGGCAGTCGGTTTTCTCTGGGAATCAGTGAAACATTTGTTTAGTGAAGAATGGCTTGTTTTAGGCCGTGAAAGGTCATGAGGTGAAGATGGTCAGTGTTAGAGTTAACTTAGCTTTACACTTATACACATCATTTAGACACATTCTCAAACATCATCAATACACATTTTCAAACATCAATCCACATTTACTAACATCATCAATCCACATTTTCCAAGATCATAAATCCACATTTTCCAACATCATCAATCTACATTTTCAAACATCATTAATACAGATATTCAAACATAACGAATACACATTTTCAAAGCGAGCCCTAAAAACTCTGTAAACTGGAACAATATGTTTCACTGTCGCCATGATAAATCTTTGAAAATATTTACATTCCATCAAATCTTTATCTCTTTAATCCCACACCATCTCTCTATGTCAGTAACACCTTTCCAAGTCAATACTATTTCTCCATGTCAGTAACATCTTTCCAAGTCAATACTATTTCTTGATGTCAGTAACATCTTTCCAAGTCAATACTATTTCTTGATGTCAGTAACATCTTTCCAAGTCAATACCATCTCTTCATGTCAGTAGCATCTTTCCATATCTATGCAAACAGATTACTTGAGTAGGCATTCAAGAGATGTTAGAAACATCATTACAGTACAGCAACAAGAATGGGTAGACAAATAATGTTACTAAGCATAACATTACAGATACCCGGTATGATATTTCCTAAAAATCATCATTTTAAATGTAAAAATTATGATACGAAAGGTCTCTTCAATATTGTAATACTGTACCTGGAGTGGGTATTTAAAGCATGTTACAAAAGGTCATTACAATACTGCACCTGGAGTGGGTATTTAAAAGATGTTACAAAAGGTCATTACAATTACAATACTGCACCTGGAGTGGGTAGTTAAAGCATGTTAGGAAAGATCATTACAATACGGCACCTGCAGTGGGTATACAAAAGATGTTACAAAAGGTCATTACAGTGCCTGGAATAGGTATTCAAAATTCAAAAGATGTTATGTACGTCATTGTCATCAGGGGCGTCAATCCGAGCCTCCCCCCCCCCCCCCCCAAAAATTTTATACTAACTCCATGTTTTTCCTTGTCCGCCAAAATCGCCTAGGCCCACAATCCCATCCGGTAAAAAGATGTTACAAAAGTTCATTTCCGTGCCTGGAATAGGTATTCAAAATTCAAAAGATGTTATGTACGTTATTGTCATCAGGGGCGTCAATCCGAGCCTCCCCCCCCCCCCGCCAATAATTTTATACTAACTACATGTTTTTGCTTGTCCGTCAAAATCGACTAGGACCATCATGCCATCCGGTTAGGGGGGAGGGTGGGTTATGGTGAGCTTGTAGGTGGCTTGCTAGACCGATCCTTGCTCGGAAAAATCTCTGGCACCGCGGGCAGGGGATAGTTGCTGCAGTGGTGATCTACTATTGCTCTTTCGGGCGAGCCTGCGTGTCTCAGCTGTGGTTATGCTACTGGCTTCATGAGATTTAGCCCCTTTCTTGACAGCTGCTCTCCAACTGGCTCTGTCCTGGGCTGTCGGCGCCCATTTAGTAGGGTTGATGCTGAAGGCCTTTAGTGCCGCTTTCAGTGAGTCTTTGTAACGCTTTTTTTGACCTCCTTGGGAGCGCTTGCCTATCGTGAGTTCTCGGAAGAAAATCTAAAACTACATGTACAGACAATTGTATAAATAAACATACAAAAGCGTAACAGCCTCTCACACCCCATAACGTACACATAAGTAAAACAAGTTCAAAACCCCGTATCATAATTAAAAATGGAAATATACACACTTCAACACACACACCTATAGACATGTCAACATACACACCTTTACATACACATGTTCAAATAAACACCCATATACACAAACATCTTTGTGGTACAGTGAGCGATACAGCACTTGAATGAACTCAACAAGAAATATCTCTTTTTATGATATTGTTTATTCTATATACATAACAGTGTTTTAAAATAATGTCATAAATAGGTTCTTCATTTGAAATAAAGAAAAAAAATGATGAAGACGAAGACGATTTAACACAGAGAAGATGCCTTTAATAAAGTGATCTCATGAACCCAGGAGCAAGTGGCATGCACATTTAAGAAAAGATATGTTCAAATCTCTCGTTGACAATGACACAGTAACAATAGCAGTCAGTCCATGGCACACCTAGAAAGTGGTCAACAATTACCACTAAATGTTTATTGTTTATCACTGATCTTAAAAGTTTGTTTCTCACAGCACACTAATATGACTGCCGCCCACAGCACACACTAATCACATGACTGCCTCTCACAGCACACACTAATCACATGACTGCCTCTCCCAGCAGGCACTAATCACATGACTATGACTGTGTCTCACAGCACCCTAATCACATGACTGTGGCTCACAGCACACTGATCACATGACTGTGGCTCACAGCACACTAATCACATGACTGTGGCTCACAGCACACTAATCACATGACTGTGTCTCACTGAATGTGATGATGTCACCATTAGCCTGCTAGTTTCATGTGGTACCTTTGATAAGAGGACATGTTCTAAATCAATGTCCATTAATCATGTTAGTAATCAATGGGCATGACCTCAGTTGACCCCTAGTCAAACCCCCCACCCCCTCCTAGACACACAAAAATGATTGATGTAACAACACAAACAACCATGACCTCAGTTGACCCTCAGCTCAGTTACCCCCATGAAAAAAATTAGAAAATTATACTATACTAAATAATGTCAACAAAATGTTAAGACAAAAGACTCCCTTGAAAATTTGGTTAGTTTCTGGGAATGTCAAAGATTCTAATGTCATGCAATATAACAGATAGGATAAAAATTAATCTTGAATTCCTAGAGACATAGAAGGGTTAGTTTGTCATTGGTCATGTTCAATTCAATATCCCTGAATACAGGCAACAACACATCTTAACAAGAATGATTATTTGTGTTGAACATTTCTATAGTGGAGTGCTGACATGCTCTCGACAGATCTATAAAGCAATGGTGGATCAATTTCTTATCCTACACCACATATTTACAGGTGTACTTAAATTGTGCTATTGACTTGAACTGATATTACAACACTTGATCTGTATCTTGCTCATTTTCTTCATTATATTAATACAAGTAGGACAAGAGACTCAGGATAATCCATCATTTTGTTAGTGTGGGCTTTTCCATTTATTTCACATTCTAGTCCTACAGTCTAGTCAATAAAATAAAGTTGTCACTAAACTATAGGAGATAACAGCTACTGATACAAATACTGGTTAGATAAAACATTCATTCATTCCTACTCTCGGCAAGTTGGACAACAAAAAAAGTGATAATCCTAATCCGCCAAGTCATTGGTCATCTCACACACTACTCAGTTTGAACATTCTCTTTCAAACATGTTTAAAAATTCATTGTAAAAAGCTCTAGGCACACAGAGTCTCACATTGTCCAGCTTTACACAGAGAACATGATCAGCACACCATGCAGACATTTAAAGCAGGTTATCAAAATAGTTGTTTCTATACAGCAGAAGTGCATCATTGTGTGTAATACAATCAGAGACTGAAGTCATAGGCCAAACATTACAAACACATGCCCCAAACAGAACTCATCTAGAAGAACACATTGAACAGGAACAAACAAACGTTCTTCCTTGATGAATTTAATGTCCTGTGATTCAATAAAAAGCAAGGACAGCAGAAATGAAACTTATGGCTGGCAGGACAGCAGAAATAAGACTTATGGCTGGCAGGACAACATAAATAAAACTTATGGCTGGCAGGACAACAGAAATGAAACTTACGGCTATGTACAATATTTACTGAGTCAATCAGTAGGATAGAAATAATCAGGAGAAAAAATTCTGGAAAGTGACCGGCAGAAAAAAAGAGTTAAAGAAGTACTGCTGCTGTTGGCAGTGGAAGTTTATTCTTATATGCGCTGTATATTTATAGTTTCTTAATCCTGTACCAAAAGGCAGACACCAGCATGCCCTTGTCAATAGGCAGACACCAGCATGCCCTTGTCAATAGGCAGACATCAGGATGCCCTTGCCACTAAGCACACACACACATGACCTGTACCAATAAGCACATAAGTGTGTGTCATTTACCACAAAAAAAAAAAAAACAATTTAATTCTACCAACAAAGCAAAACTTTGAGGTACAGACATGCTATTGTAAATTGAATGAATCAGGGAATGGTGGCTACCCTACTTGAGCATAACCTAATTCAAATGAGAGGAACAGCAAACTCCCTCCATTGTTCAATGAGGATAAAAAAAACTTAATATAGTGACACTCTTAAACATTTCAATGAAACATTTCAATGAACTAAGGGTTGCCCTCAATAGTTACATGGCTTGGGGAACAAAAGGGGGGGGGGGGCGAAAGAGAGATAGAGAGAAGAAAAAACCAGGGGGAACATTGTTCAATGAGGATAAAAAAAACTTAATATAGTGACACTCTTAAACATTTCAATGAAACATTTCAATGAACTAAGGGTTGCCCTCAATAGTTACATGGCTTGGGGAACAAAAGGGGGGGGTGGGGGTGAAAGAGAGATAGAGAGAAGAAAAAGCCAGGGGGAATAACTTACTCGACATTGGTGATGGTCTTGAAGTATAAATTCATCTTCAAAAAACCTAAACCTGTGTGAATGGCTTCCACTGATGCTGTTAGCAAGAGACACAACCTTTTGGAAAGGCATTGCCATTTTAGGATATAAAGTTAAATCTCCTTTTCTTACACATTATTAGCAGAGTAATTGCAGCACCGCATAGTTTCTGTACACTTGTTTGAATGTAAGAAAAGATCTGCCTCAACCAGTCAACAATGATTGAGGTTGTTAATTCAAAATTCAAAGCTTATTTATCAAACATTCACCAAAATATTGCCATAAAAACTTTTGAAATAACATAAATACTTGTTTTTCTCCCACATTTAAGAAGGACATTTTTAGAATAAAATTCTTGTCTTAGTTTGAAGAGAATTATTTATTTGATGAGATGAATTTTTAAAATCTTCAACCTCTATGAAAACATTTCTAATTTTTTGATGGTACATAGCTAGTGATACATGATTTCCTATGACCTATACATAAACATTTAATAACATTTAAACATTGAAATAATGGATACTTCAGTACATAGAAATGGAAGGTTAGGTTTGGTGCACTCATTTTCATTGCAACATTTAAGTTAAACTTTAGGCTGATTGGCCCATATAGCAACATTTAAGTTTAACTTTAGGCTGATTGGCCCATATAGCAACATTTAAGTTAAACTTTAGGCTGATTGGGCCACAATAGCAGCATTGACATTAAACTTTAGGCTGATTGGCCAACAATGGAAAATAGACAGTCATAGCTGGAGTTATGGAACAATAGTGATACCTTTATTTATGTCAAAAGGTCATTCATGTTTTAGAACATTTTCTCTCCAAGTGCACATTAAGGATGCTTTGTAATACAAATTATTGAGCCATGTTCACATTAATTGATTATTAGGATATCATTCACCCTTTACACCATCAGGTGTCCTGATCATAGAAATGTGTGGTGTAGAGCATTGTTACAAACAATAACATTTTGTAGGCATCAAGACACTAGTAAAATTTGATAAAATATTTCTTAAATAACATTAACATTGAAACATGCAATAGCACCTCAAGAAACCTTGAAAGGTCAATGGTCACATCTGGCTATACGCCTTTAACAATTTCCACCAACAAATTTTTAAGACGTGCATTAGCTCAGTGACAGTTATCTGTGGGGAAATTATGTATGTTATTAAAGTAGACATGTCCTTCATTAGCAAGATTTCATCATGGAATTATGCCAGGAATATTTGGGAGTATAGAGAAATAAAGAGTTTTGTCTGAACAAGGCAGCTAATGTCAAAACCATCAAAACAACAGTCCTGAGAAGAGATTGCATGGGAAGAGAAGACACACACAGACAACAACCACACAAGACACCAAACACACACAGACACCAACCACACAAGACACCAACCACACACAGACACCGACCACACACAGACACCGACCACACAAGACACCAACAACACAAGGCATCAACCACACACAGACACCAACCACACACAGACACCAACAACACACAAGACACCAACAACACACAGACACCGACCACACACAGACACCAGCCACACAAGACACCAGCCACACAAGACACCAGCCATACACAGACACCAACCACACAAGACACCAACCACACAAGACACCAGCCACACAAGACACCAGCCACACAGACACCAACCACACACAGACACCAACAGCTGAACAAAAACAAAAATCAACACAGCTGACAATAACATCACATATTAACATGACAGCAGACACCAACAGCACAGCAAACAGCAACAAAGCACACACCAACAGCACAGCTGACAATGACACATCTGACATCAACACGACACATCTGACATCAACACGACTCATCAGATGGAGTTATCTCACACAAACAATTGTGTTGTCAAGAGTTGCCTGTAGAACTGAACAAACAAGTTGAATGTTGTGATGATAGCTCACAAAAAACTGGATAATTTTGAATAAGCCCTATAACAGAATTCCAGCCCTTTTCTATCTAACATAAGAAATGTACATTTGGCAGTCTCGGGGACTAGCTGTGTATCATGTTCATAAGAAGTAAGACAAAGTCAAGTCAGGTAGGAGTATGACATGGTCAAGTCATGTGGGAGTATGACATGGTCAAGTCATGTAGGAGTATGACATGGTCAAGCCTTGGAGGAGTATTACATAGACAAGTCATATAGGAGTATGCAATGGTCACCCCACTCGCATTTCAGCCATGAAATTTGACATCACTTTGGTCACAAGATCCAGTAACAGCATTCTTTCTTACAGTAGCTCTTCCTGGCCACAGAACTATTCTTTCAAGGCCTTCAACCATAAAGTTTAAAAAATGTCATTTGAAATGCAGAACAAATTTCTTTGCAGCAACACGTTTTTTTTCTCCAGTGCTTTTGAATTATATTTCTGCAACTATTTTGAGCCCATATTTATTCATATTTGACATCATTTATTTTGACCACAGAATTATAGGTTTCTCTGGAAGGGGTTGAGGGGTGGGGTGGTGGGGGGTGGGGGTGTGTGTGATGGTTTTGTACTAATTCTAAATGCTGCAAGTGTAACGGGTAAACTCTAGTCAGACATGACAGTAAAATGGATTGACTATAAAATCAGTTATCTATGAAGCGGCCTGAAGCCTCGCTGTATCTACGGCATCCAGCAAGTTCTTTGAGTCCATGGCCAGGGCATGTGCCGATTTCAGCATACTCTTCCTGTAGTCAGGCAGCAGTGGTGTGTGATAGTTCTCCTGTGCCAGTCTCATGGCACTGATCAGTGACGCCATGTCTGTGGACAGCACTTTCTGGGCCATTTCAATCTGAAATAAAATATACATGAAACTTGGAGAATGAGTTGTCAGAATCTGTTACTTTAAAGTGCACCAAATGGAGGGGTGAGTTGACAGTTGGAAATGGTTAGTCTGAAGGGGATTGCACAATGTGCCGCCGCTGTCTGTTTCGCTGCTGGCCCTTGAGCCCATGTTGATCAAGAAATTATTTAAATAAAAAGTTGATAACTGAAAAACACAGTTATTTATAAAAATGGTAAAGTATTATGAACGTATTGTAAACCTATAATAATAATTGCCTAAGTGGATACATTGATATGGAATAAAAATTTTATTTTTTATTTGATGCATTTCGCACCTTAAAACGGATGCACAATAAAAGTAAAAGGACCCCCCCCCCCCATGACCTCAGACAAAACTGCTACAGCAAAAAAGCACTCAAAAGAATAAAAATTTTATTTTTTATTTGATGCATTTCGCACCTTAAAACGGATGCAAAAAAAAAGTAAAAGGACCCCCCCCCCCCCATGACCTCAGACAAAACTGCTACAGCAAAAAAGCACTCAAACCATGCAGCTACAGACCCCTACTTTAACTGGGGTGGTTTTTGACTGGAATTCATATTTTTTTATGTTTTTCTATTAAATTATAGTGAAAGGGAAAATTCAATTATGGAAGTATTTTTAAAAGAATGACCTGAGCACAGATCCTTTGAACACTTCTCTTCTTAATCCACCAATAAAATTCATGCTGAACTTATTTCACTCCCTACCTTCAAATAAACAGGGTGGGCCTCATAAAACCGGTACACGTTCACTAAATTTTAAACAACTCGTTATGTCCACGAGGACCAAAGACCACAAAGTATAGACTTTAACTTTAGATCATCTGTCCTAGCCAAGTATGGACTTTAACTCATGAAGCATCAGATGCATTTGTGCTATGGCATCAAGGATTTTTAAGCAACTTTGATACGTATCACTAAAGTATCAACAAACAAATATAAAATGAATCCAAAGACCAATGTAAGTATAGATATTCTGAGTGTAAATTGGACAAGGAAGCATATGGCAAATTGGAGACAGAATTATACTGTATGAATGTTGGAATTCTGTGAGCTCTGTAAGGGGCAGACAATTATGTCATTAGTTTTAGGCAACTTTTTTACTGCAGATATAAACTTCCAATGACTGTAACTGTAACAATGAAGTGGTTGAGCATGAGTTAAAGAAAAGAAAGTCTATCTTAGACACGCACGTGAAACTTGCATGTATTTAACACTTTCATATAGCTTTATATGCATCATAAATTTTTTTTTAAAACTTTCAATACAGTTTTTTGAGCCCTCAGGTCAACATGTATGCTTTTTCTGACTTAGTCATTAGTAATTGTGTGCAAGAATAGAGTTCTTTAAGATGGAAGACATACCTGTTTATGGCTGTCTGGAGGTAAGCTTGGCATGACCTCATCCACCTTGGCTAATAGGGTCCTCAGTTCACTGCCAACTTTCTGATCACATAAAATCAAACAGTTACAATGGTTAAAGGTGATTGGCCTCAGGAGAGGAGTGGAGTTGGGGGAAGCAAGTGTAAGGGTTGTAGCTAAGGTGGAAGAAGGAAGGGGCGAGGAGATGGTGAGATAGATAGACAAGGAAGGAAACAGGGGGTCAAGGGAGAATATATGGTGTCGAAGATGTGAAGGTATCAGGATGTAGGGGTCAATGGTGGATTTAGGGGTCAATGGTGGATTTAGGGGTCAATGGTGGATTTAGGGGTCAATGGTGGATGTAGGGGTCAAAAAAGAGGATCTAATGGGTCACGGGAGGACGTAAGGGGGTCAAAGGAGGATGCCGGGGTCAAGGGAGGATGCCGGGGTTAAGGGAAGATGTAGTGTGAACAGTTAAGAATGATGCTTGCAACAGATCACATTTTAACCACCAAATCTCCTAGTTCAGTGGTCTGCAAACTCATTAGTCAAAAGAGCCAAAAATCAGCAGCAGGGCGATTAATTTTTTTTTATAGCCAAATTTCTTTTCAAAAACCTGTCAAGAACCATATTTTTCGGGGTAAAAACCAATTTGTGGCCGACTGGCCAAGCCGCACTCAGGTCTCTAAACGGGCCGCATGCGGCTCGGGAGCCATGATTTGCTGACCACTGTACTAGTTAAGCAATTATATTTCACTAAGATATATAAAATGTGCTGGTCTTAAATAAAAGAATCCATCAAGAGATCAGCTGAACAAGATCCATCAAGAGATCAGCTGAACAAGATCCATCAAGAGATCAGCTGAACAAGATCCATCAAGAGATCAGCTGAACAAGCTTAAAATTGCCTCTTTGTCATTCATAAAATATATAAAAGTAAGACGATTGCTAGCATCCATAATCCCTTTGTCAATAGTTTTGAACATTGAGCATCATTAAATTGAGATCTTCGAAAAAAAATTATTAAAAAAAATTTAAGTTAATATGTTTCTGGTATTGTCTGCTGAAGGACATCTGGCCCAAACGCCTGCTTGATTGTCATGTCTTTTATTTTCAAGCCTTGTTTCAGTTTTTAATTTAGTTAAAATTGGACACAGATGATAAGATTGATTTTTACCTTGACCATTTCCAAGTAGCCTTCAGCTTCAACTCGTGGGGCATCTTTAGTCATGGTCATGACAGCCCTCACAACGTTGGTGGTGCTGTCATAAACACTGTCATTGACTCGTGACAACTGAAACAAAAGAAAGCAAGCACCATAAGTGAAGCAATGTTGAACTTATTGAACTGTCTCAGCACTCTGGTCATATTTTCAGAGCAACTTTTATTCACAACATAAATAAACTTATGGCCTCATCAATCTCTTATGTCCTCATCAGTGTCCTATGACCTCATCAATGTCCTCATCTATGTCCCATTTCCACATCAATGTCTTATTAAAGGGGAAAAAATGATTTCCATTTGTTGCCAGCTTGATGTATATTTTTTAAATGTGATTAATGGTAATTTGACCATAAATAATTTTAAAATAAAAATATAAATCTACAAATTTTGATAAAAATTGATAATTAGTTGGCATTATGATAAAAGATTATTTATTTTTAAGCTATATTTATCATGGATAAATATAAATAGATATTTAAAAAAACCAACAGTCTGACCTTTTGTGTGGATCCCTCTGTAGAATCACTGGTACTACTGGCACTACCTGGAGAACAAAGAAATGATTGGATAATAAAATAGCTAAAGAACCAATCATTGATTGGATTATACCAGTCATGTGACAACTGGCATTAACTAGAAAACAAATCAATAATTAGCTTATACCAGTTATGTGACAATCTCATCAAAATTATCTTATATGCAATTTTACAATCAAATCATTATGGTTCATCGTCATCATCATGTGCCTTAGTCCTTGGACCTTTGGGCCGCCACATATGACATAAAAACTGTCCTTCTCCATTCCTCTCTGTCTTCTGCACAGCATCGCCTAGTTTTAGTCCCATCCACTCTTTGATGTTATCTTCCCATCTTTTTCTGTCTTCCTCTTCTTCTCCCTCCTCTCATTGTGCCCTGCATGATTTCTTGTCACATGGCCATACCATTCCAGTTTGTGCTTTTTTACAGTCACCAGGATTATTGTACTGCCCAATTGCTTGACGAATTCTTTCTATCACTTGTTCTTTTCAGATAGGTTGGCAACAAATAAAATAGAAATTTTACTAATGTTTTAAGCCAAACTTACTTGAAGTCCTTTGAAGAAGTTTAGCATTAGGAACAGGCCGCGTGTTGGCCAATGATGGTGGTGAGTTTTCTTTGGTGTTGTCCAAGTGTTGCCCCAAATCAGGTCTGTAAGTTAAAGGATGCGAGTCCCGTTTCTAAGCAATCAGAGAATCAAGAGAAGTTAGTTAAGGGAGCTACAATTTACATGTTTCAAGCTAATCATTTCAAACACTCACCATCTAGCTTTGCTTCTGAACAGTATTTCTACATTTACATATTAATATCAAATGATTTAAAATAAATATAGCACACACAAAGTTGCACATAATTTACTCATAATAATATAGCTGACTGAAGGAAAGCACTATATTTTATGTGGACTGTTTAGGGGTTCAATGAATGGAGTAAGTTTCATTAAATTGAGCACCAAATTTTTCTCCTCTGCCTGCAGCCATCTTGAATCCTCCTCCGATTCCTTCTGCTGTTGCCTCAGCCTCATCTCAATGACAGCCTCATCAATATCTTCTACATGTCTATGATGCTGGGTGAAACCCTGGGATAGCACAGAAGTAAAGTTGTACACGGCATAAATATCTGGTCCAACAATTAAATAGATAACATAGGCGTACAGTTGTACACGGCATAAATATCTGGTCCAACAATTAAATAGATAACATAGGCGTACACTTGTACAGGACATTATTGCTAGTCTAACAATTAAATAGATAACATAGGCGTACAGTTGTACAGGACATTATTGCTAGTCCAACAATTAAATTTACACATTTTAAGAGGTTGAAGTTAAGAAAGAATACTTGATCATTAACTAAACATTTAAATGATCCATTTAGAAAATGCTAAAGCATTGTAATGTACTGTATAGTACTGACATGTACTGCGATAAGTTTGTTACTGTAATGTATTGTGCATAACTGATATATACTGTGGTACTGTCTTGTATTGTGTGGTACTGTCATTTACTGAGGTGTACTGTAATGTACTGTGTGGTACTGTCAAGTACAGTGTTGTATTGTATTGTACTTGGTAGAACTTTATTGTACTGTGTGGTACTGTCATGTACTGTGTGGTACTGTACTGACACTGCATAGCTGAGGTCAAATTGAACATAAAGGAGACATGGTTTCTTACAATCAACCAAAGTGTATTGTCCCATATTCCAGTAAAGATTCACCATAAGCCATTTGTACAGTTTACGACCAGGCAAGTCTTTATGTAGTAGTGACAAGCCATCAATGAAGCCAGTGTGTATCTTAAACCATAGTTTGCATCTTAGTCCATGTATTGTTTATTATGTAACAAGTCCATGTCCAAAAAATGAACTCTCCTTAACAAAACAACTGAAATCTGTTTCAGTTTAGTATATTACACTGACTCTCAAGAAGAGTTAATTTAATACATGGATAAGCTGTTCACATTTAAATGACTTTTTTAGAAGTATAAAGTCTGAAGAGAAAACTCTAAATATACCCGTTATCTTATAAATATGATGATGTAATGACAAGCATACTGCTTAAAGAGTTGTCAAAATAAATATGTATACATTCCAGTTAAATCTACACTAATTACTTCCTAAAGGAATATACTACAATAATAAGGTATTAATGTTGATGGTTTATGTGCTACAAAGATAAGGTATTATAATGCTAATGGTTTATGTACTATTCAAAAACATAAAGACAACAAAGCATGGGGGTTGTTTAGGTAAGGGATGGAGGTGGTGTGGTTAGTCACTTTAAACATTAATAGTTCATTTCAAAGAAAATTAGTCTACACTTTATAATGCAAAGGTTAAAAGTATTTACACATGAAGAGTTTTAAAACCATGTTAGCTCTGTTAACTGATGCAAACTTAAGCAGTGAGAATGTTTTAATGGTTTTCAAACTGACAGATCTGTTGGATATGTAACTCTAGAAAACTAATCTTTGGACTGGATTCTTTTAGTTTATGGTCCATGTGAGAAAATTAATTCTATATTGTTTTTTTTAAATTTATATATTCTATATCTTTTCTTTAAATGTATCTATAACTATGTTTGCCATTTCAAATATGTGGGATTAAATTGTTCAACAACAGAGGGAAATAAATTTGAGTTAAAACCTGAGAATGTTAGCCGTCATGAGTACCTAACTACAAGGATGGCTTAGAAATGGTTATACCTGTGGTGTTGTTGGAGGTGAAAGAGGGGAGAGCACCTGGTTGTTCCGAGATGAGAGCTGGTAGTGGTCAACAGGGGGAGGTGGAGGCATGGTCAGGGAAGGGGGGTCGGGTCGATTAGACATGGAAGTCTTGTGGCTGCTGGTGAAATGCTGTGGCTGCTGGAATGCTGCTGGAGGGGGCAGTGTGGGAAGATTTGGAGGGTTGCGGACAGGTAAGGAGATGTGCGGGTGAGGATGGGGAGGTAGCTGGCCGGAGTTGCTGCTGCTGCTGACCTGCGAGGGTTGATGGCAGAAGGTGGTAAAGGTGTGCAAAAAAAATATTGAAACATTCAAATTAGATTACACGAATCTATTCATGATTTTCTCTAGTACTGTTTCCTTATGTAAAATAGATAAATGCATTTTTACCTCTTTGATTACTTTTAATATCAACTATGTAAATTTCCTTCTTTTTGTTGTTAATTATAAGACAGGATCTATAATTTGTGTGCACATAGGTTGGAACAACATGTTGATGGGGAAAGCTGAGGGACAAAAGCTAATTATCATTTGATTCAGCTGTTTACAATTAGTAATAGATTTGGAGCGAATAAAATGATTTAATTTATATTTACAAACTTACAGTGTCTGAAATATAGAGTTACACTGTGTCTGACACAGTCAGCATATTTTACATTGTAACAGTGTGTCTTACACAAAATTGCAGTGTCTTACACAGAGTTACAGTGTGTCTGGACACTGTGTTTGATATGTAGGGTATATTTACAATGAAAATATAATATAATAATAAATTTATTTTCAATGCCTATGTCATTTTTGAATGCATTTACAGATCTGGTAAAACAACAGAAATATGTTTCTAGAACAATGTTTTAAAGAATAAAAGGTGGTAGCAGTTAGGGATTAAGGGAGTAAGGGAGAGAACTCAATTGTGAAAGATCATAATGTACAAGGCAGAGATTCCCAAACTTTTTTGAGTTATTGCACCTTTAGTGTATCCCGATTTTCTCAAGGCGGCCTCCGAAAAAAATTCAACATCTCAAAACCAACAGCTTTTAATTTACAAAAAGAAGTGAACAACTTATATATTACAGAGCGCCATCTTGATCGAGTATCTATTTTTTAATTTTTCTGTAAACCAATATCACTGTAACTAGTTTAAACAATTCCATTAGATCTAACATGAGCTTATCAAACTTTGTAACTCCTTGAGTGCACAGTTTGGGAACCTCTATCCTGCGAATGGGGAAATAACCTTTACCACTGATAATTAGCTCTTTTGTCAAGTTGATTCATCATCGAGTTTTAAATGAGAAAATGTTTCAGTATTTATTTGAACTTTTTCATTAACTTTAACAATTTTTTTTACTTTTAACAAATGATTTAAAATGTTTATTATAAATAAAGGATATAATAAATCAAAAAAACGATTTTGTAAAAGGATTTAAAATAATTTTTAAGAATTTATTTAGTGGAGAATTATTGATAAATAAATGCATCTCTATACAGCCAATATCATACCAGTAAATATATGGGCTTTGTTAAGCGATTCTGCAATGTATGAGTATAAAATATTATTGGAATAAATGCCTTTTAATGGCTACAGAATGATTGACCATCTCCACATATTTCATGAGACATTGAGTGATAACATCAGAAGTTTTAACATGGAGCAGTTTTCTAGTCTCAATTTTTAACTATTCAAGTTTTCAAAGTGATTGGTTGAATTCAACTATATAAAGTTTGAATCAAATTATTACATTTTTCTTTTTCTGGGAATTTTTACTAGAAAATTGACATGTAAAAATTAGTCAAAGTTTTGTTTACAATGTTTTAAGCACACACCTTAAGATCTGGATGGCTTTATTACATCTCAGATAATTAAATATTAATCATTTTTAAAAATCATTAATTTTTCTGATGAAATACTCCAATTACAAAAGTTTGATTATTTCAAAGTTTAAGCTATGAGGAGTCATGGAGTTCAGTTTAATTATATATTTTATTTTTACTAAAATATTGAATTCTTTTTCAATAAGGTGTTTAAATAAAACGCTATAAGCATTACCTGCATGTACCCAGAAGAGGGGAAATAATTCTGTAACTGATATTCTATGTGAGCTCCAGTGGAAGCTGGTTGCTGCTGTTTGACATGGTCCTGTGATCTCAGTGAACCCTGGGACTTGAAGGCATTTGTGTCCGGGGATGGTCCTGATGCCGGCGTGCTGTGGCCCACAGGAAGGTTGGTGGTGCTATTCCACTGATGGGGCAGAGATGCTATACTTGCATTGAAGGAGTTGCCAGCATTCATCGAAAGGTTGGGGGTGGAACCGGTTGGTGACATGGCAAATTGTGGTCTGGCAGGTTTAGGGGGTGGCGGGGGCTCTTCATCAGAGCCATTGGAACCGGCTGATGAAAGAAACATTTGAATGAATCATTGTATTTTATATCTGGTCATTTATGAATCAGATCCTATTGTATTAACTAAAAAATCTAAGAAAAATCCTCAAGGAATTGATTTCTGCTGAATTTAATTTTATTGAGACAGCCAATTTATAGCTTGATGGACGACCACAGAAAAAGGTGGAATTAAAGCTGAATGCAATCATAATTAAATTGTGACTAAAACCGAGGGCATCTTTAACTTGGCTATGAATCATTGAAGCTTGGTTAATGAATATTTACCCCAAGAAATGGCCTGCACTCGTCTGTTGTCTCTGTGCATCTCTTCTTCTTGTCTGCACCGCTCATCTTCTAATATCTCACTGAAATAATAAAATCACATAGCTAGAGATATCAACATCACATAGCTAGAGATATCAACATCACATAGCTAGAGATATCAACATCACGTAGCTAGAGATATCAACATCACGAAGCTAGAGATATCAACATCAAATTCATAGATAGAAAAGACAGTATTTTTCCATTACTAGTCAGTAATTGATTGATTTGACTTAATTAATTAGTACATTAGTTAGAGCCAAATATGTCCGTGACTTGATAATCAAACTAAGACTAAGACAATATTTTGTACACAAAATTTAATACTTTAATTAAACAAACTCACCTATAGTGTATATGTCAAAGCTAATGGTGTGTATGAGTGTGTATGAGGGTTACGCAAGACTTTGATGGTATCAAGCATAGCACTGAAGTGGCTAATCAAGCCATCATACAAGAAACAAACTAAAACAAAAATTCAATTTCTTTTTAGTCTTTTCCTGATGAGGTAATAGCTTTTAAACTCAGAAAAATTCATTTACTGTGTCTCTTCATTCTTGTTTTTATACATATGATAATTTTGATATGATTGTCTAAGTCTGTGAGTGACTTACGTGAGCCATGTTTTGAGATCAGCAAATGAAAGGCGTTTGGAAGGTTCATACTGCCAGCAGGAACACATCAGGTTGTAAAGAGATGGTGGGCATCCAGGGGGCAACGGGAGACGTTCACCTGCCTCTATCTTACCAATGACATCGTTGTTTTTCACACCTTGAAATGGCTTGACCCCATACATTAAAATTTCCCAGATACACACACCTGGGATTAGAGAATACAAGTTTTAAAAGTTTTGGACTGGTCCAAAGATAAATTATAAAAAAAAATAAAAAAATAGTTTATTCTATTTCCTGCCAGGAGTACGCAATATTTTAATTGCATGTTAGACTTTAAAAATGTAACAATTCCTTTCCATCATGAACAACATTTCAAGCTATTTTAACAAGAGTAAACATTACAATTACTTGTATCCTCCAAGGTTAATGTTAAGTTATTAATGAAGAAGAAAACAAAGGACAGCAACATGAGCAGTGACACAACACCGTGGTTTTATTCTGTGAATATAATGTATACTTGATAGCTACATGTTACAGCATAGGTAGCATCAATTCCAGTTTTGTCAGTTTTAGTTTCTACTCATCTGCACTTGTTTAATGCTTAGCTTATATATTGTTATATTATATGACTTTTCTTCTTCTTACCAAACATCCAAACATCACTAGCAGTAGTAAACCTTCGAAAGTTGATGGACTCCGGAGCCATCCATTTGATAGGCAGCTTTCCCTTAGAAGCTGAAAAGAAAACCATTGAGTTCCATAGTTTAGACTTCACCTAGCGGGAGGCATCAAAACCATGTTGAAAGCCTTCTTGAACATTACAATTTAATGAATGTAGACATACCATTAACATTGAGATTATTCAAAGCATTAACAACTTTTCTATTTTAAATACATGACATATGTAATTCAAATGCATGACATATGTAATTCAATCCATATCTGTAGGACAAACCTTTGTAATAACTTTGTTCCTCTACCCATCTAGACAGACCAAAATCTCCCAACTTGACAATGTCATGGGAAGACACCAGAACATTCCTGGCAGCAATATCCCTGAGATTAGAATCAGACAAAAGAAATAAATTAGAACTTTCCCCCAACAGCCAACAAAGAATAATAGATTGAAAGCTTCCCCAACAGCCAGCAAAGAATAGATTGAAAGCTTCCCCAACAGCCAGCAAGGAATAGATTGTCCATAGAATGTCCATATAAACACAACCAATTGTCCATGTCAACATAAACACAAGCAATAGTCCATGTTCACAAAGACAAGGGGCACTAAAATCATCCTTTTATGGGAAAGGGGGAAGGGAGGAGCGGCTACGGGCTGGACAGCACTGCACTAGTCTCAGGGGCGCAGAGACATTTTTCTATGTGGGCTGCTGCGGCTTCCTCACATGGGCTTTGCAAAATATTACAAAATTTTCTTGATTTTGTTTCCACTTTAAATCCAGTGTGACATCTAGCGGTGTGATGCAAACAGTAACCCACTTGAGTAACTACTGTTTGCAGTTATTTATTTAGGCATTTTTTATATAGCGCTTACCTTAAAGCTCTAAGCGCTTTACAATTATTAAAAACATGTAAACTAAGTAAAATAAAAATGAGACACTAGGATGGTAACTACTATACTATAGAAACAATTAAAATGGCTCTAAAACGAGGACATTTTGGCACGTTTTGGCCTATATTACAGGATCAACCCGAGGCAGAAAATGAGGCAGAGCAAGGAGGGTGCATCACAGGTCATAGGCGGACCTAAACAGATGGGTTTTAAGGGACTTTTTAACAGTGGACAAGGTTTCACAATGACGGATATGGAAGGGGAGCTGGTTCCAGAACGTGGGCCCATGGAAGTAGAAGGAGCGTTCACCGATGGTCTTAGTTTTGGTTCTTGGGATTGAGAGGATTCTATTGTCAATGGAAGAGCGTAGTTGTATTGTGGTGATATAAGAAAGCCACTTTTCAGAGAGATAGACAGGAAAGTGAGGGTCAGTGAATGGTTGAGGCGACAACACTAGACACATTTGTGTCTATTGTCTCAAGCCTTCAAACCCCTAGTGCTTGATTTCCTCATCAACACCAGTAACAGAAACATTGCTAATCCCATCTACATGCATAGGAGCCAAAATGATCAATAAATTGATCGTGGGCCCTTAAGATATAGAAGAAGAAGAAGTTGAAGCATAGATTGGCAGACTTGTACTTGATGCGTGAGGATATTGGAAGCCAGTGGAGTTGCCGCATGTGTGGTTGAATGTGGTCATGTTTCTTTGATTTAAAAATGAGTCTGCATGCTGAGTTATGTGCCTTCTGAAGTTTGTCTATGTGGTGTTGAGGAATGCCTGCGAGAAGAGTGTTACAGTAGTCAAATTTTGAAAGAATGAGTGAAGAGACTAGAGTTTTTGTGGCATCAAAGGAGAGGAGGTGGCTTATGGTGCTGATTTTTCTAATTTCGTTATATGCTGATCTACATATATTCGTGACATGTTTGTCCATGGAGAGTGTGTCTGTAAGCGTGACTCCAAGGTTTCTGACAGAGGAAGAGAGTGTGATGTCAGAGTTGCCAATAGATATAGAAGAAGTTATAGGATGGTGCTTAGTGACCTACATACATGTTATATTTCTTTTACACATCCGTTATTTTATTTTGTATGCATTTTATATTTTGAAGTGTACATGTTAGAATTTAACACAGGCAGACTGGCGACAACCTGAATTTGGCATAGGCAGTGGGAAAAGAAAATTTTAGAATTCGTTCACATCATTGCATATTTTTTTAAATAATTTTTTTTTGTACATTATTCAAGTTATAATTATGCCAATTTGTTTACTTTCAGAGCTTCAATATGAATTTTGTAGAATTTTTTGAATAACCTACATGCATTCTGAAGGGACCCCCAATACACATATGCACCTGTACGCAAAATCTAAAATATCAACAGCCCCCCCTCAGTGCATACATCCTATATAGATGGCCAAAGATTACTAAAATTGTTACTAGGGCCACACACTAATATTATGAAAACACAAAGAAACAATATGACTATGTGGCGGTGTTAATTAAAAAAACTAAAATACCCCCCCCACACATCCTGTACACAAAAATCTCTTAAATCAACATCACTCCACACTCTCAGGATTAATGTAATGTTATTATAGATGGTCCTCAACCAATCTTTTTTCTTGATCCATTCAATGCAGGATGTAGAATGCAAATTATAACTAACGACTGAAAATGTACTTTTTAATTATTATTTTTTAATTGGAGAAACTACCAGAATGTATATTTTTTCAACCCAGTCTCTAAAAATTGTAAAAGACATCTAAAAAATGTACATTGTATGCCAAAATTGTAAGAGTAAGCAGTTCTGCTAATGTGAACATGGACTATTGCATATGCTTATGTGAACATGGACTATTGCATATGCTTATATGAACATAAACTATTAAACATAATTATGTGAACATTTCATGTAAAATCATAAATATATATTATACACAAGTATGACTTTACACAAGATTTTAGTTTTATCCATTTTAGAAAAAAACTATTTATGTATATTTATAATTTACCTGTGTACAAATTTCTTGCTCTCTAAATAAGACAAAGCTGTACTGAGTTGATAAGAGTAGAGAATCAACATAACCAGATCCAACCTTTGCTCATTGTTCTGTAAGTATGCTCGCATCTGATGGGTCAGAAGAGAAATGGAAACACTATAAATAAATAACAGCACAACAATGAACGTATATGAGCACCACATAGTCAAAGAATGATATTTCAGCATTCATCAAATTATCTAAAACTTTTATTGGCTTAATAAGCATACCTCTCCATGCTTGGCCAACTCCATGACTATCCATACAGGAGCAGTGTCTGAGCAGATTCCAATCAACTTGATAATGTGTGGGTGATCAAATTGTTGCATGATATCTGCAAGTGGACAGAGATTAGTCAAACTGTTACATGATATCTGCAAGTGGACAGAGATTAGTCAAACTGTTACATGATATCTGCAAGTGGACAGAGATTAGCATTTAACACATTTAACTTTAACCACTTCAAGTACGGAGGACAGTCATGTATAATATAGCTTAGCATTTAATGTTATGCAGCGAAAACGCTGAGGAAAGTTTATTAGCTTCTTATAGTTGTGCTGATGAGACACGTTTTGAGGGTTAGCTTTGAAGAGAAAATTAGACAAACTTTTTATGATCATGTATGAGTGATAGAAAAAGGTCCATTTTTATATTGAGGAATGAGATTCTTTTGTTTATTTTCTTATGAAATAGAGGAAAAGATTGATAAAAGCTTGAAAGGCAAAAACAGGACAATCATCTGGGCTAGAAGCCTTGATCAAGACTAACAACAAAATAGAATAAGAAAATTTGAACTAACTTATTCTATTAAAACTTGACATTATGAATGGTTTTCTCAACTTACATGCTTCTTCCAAAAACTTTTCTGTCATGCATTCTTCTCCATCTTCCTTGCATGTCTTGATAGCCACTGGGACTTGCATCCCTTCCTAGAGGATATTACAGAGAAGTTGTTGACTGATGCATCATATGGTGAAATATTGTAAAGTGTGATCAATTTCAATTCAAATATATACTATATAAAAGCATTAATGCAACTTACACTGCCAATCTGAAACTTTATTTTAACTAGACACAATGATTGAACAACCTAATACAACTTTTGAACAACCCAGTCCCAACGACTGAACCACCCAGACACACAACTATTGATCCACTTAATCTCTATGATGGAACTACCTTATACCAACTATTGAACCACCCATGACTGTTCGTCCGTCTAGGATCGACGAGGACCATCGAGTCGTCTGGTGACTGATGACTTGCGTGGATGACTTTAATTAAAGTGAAGAAGAGTTGCGCGGCGTCTACCTCACTCTCTCGTCCGAGCCCACCATATCCAGTGGCAAGACTCTACGTCCAGACGACCAGGGATGGGTTCGGTTGCAGGTATTGTCATTGTTTGCGCCTTACGGGACTCCAACTCCGTGTTTGAATTCAGAGTTTCCTTCTCTTAGATGAGTTGCCGACCAAGGTTAAAAAGTCTCATCCACCCAGGGTGATGTTTTTGCTTGACTGGCCTTTGACTGGACTTGAAAACCAGACCACCAACTTGAGGTTTGCTCAGTTTAGACCATTTGGCCACCCAGTCACCCATGAACCACCCATACACAGCTTTGAACCACCAGAAACAACTATTGAACCACCCAACCCAACTATTGAACCACCCAACACAACTACTGAACCTCCTCGACACAACATTGAACCACCCGACACAACTATTGAGTGACCCAATCCAACTATTGAACCACCCAGACACAACTATTTAACCACCCAGTCCCAACTAGGTCAATGTGTTAAAGTAGGTTAAAGGTTTGATGTGCTTCCTAGTTTGAGTCTCCAGAATAAGCATTTGGTAATTAATGGAGTCAACAGTCAACATGATCATGCAAACATAGACAATATGATCATGCAAAAATAGACGGTACAATCATGCAAACATACACTATATATTTGTGCAAACATGAACAAAATGATCATGCGAACATATTCAATATGATCATGCAAACATAGATACTATAATCATTCAAACAGACATTATAATCATACAAACATAGACGATATGACCACAGAAACAGAAAAAATCATGCAAACAGAAAAGATAATTATGCAAACATAGACAATATGACCACGCAAACATAGACAATATGACCATGCAAACATAGACAATATGACCATGCAAACATAGACAATATGACCATGCATACATAGACAATATATCATGCAAACAGAAAAGATAATTATGCAAACATAGACAATATGATCATGCAAACAGACCATATGACCATGCAAACATAGACAATATAACCATGCAAACATAGACAATATGATTATGCAAACATAGACAATATGATTATGCAAACATAGACAATATGATATGCAAACATTGACAATATGACCATGCAAACAAAGACAATATGATCATATAAACCAGTGAGAACAGATTTCTAAGACATCCACACAAATATGTTAAAATATCTTACCTTATCAAAATACATTCCCTTGTAGACATCACCGAACTGACCCTCGCCCAGTATCTCCACCAGACGAATGTGGTCTCTGGGAATTTCATAGTCTCGAGCTACAGAAACAAAGCAAGTAAAATTCAAACATACTAATGTAAAATGGAGTCTTTGATAGCTGTGCTCAGACAAGGCAAGTTTATCATCTAAGTTCTATCTAATAACATATTTGTTCTATCATAGATTATGTTTAAAACAAAATTATTCTTTGATTACAGTACGAGCACAAGACTTTTATCAACTTAGTTCTATCTAATAACATATTTGTTCTATCAAATATCATATTAAAAACAAGTCAATTCTTTGATAACTGTACTAACACACAGCTTTTTATCAACTTAGTTTTATCTAATAACATGTTTGTTCTAATACCATGTTTAAAATAAGTTTATTACCTGATTACTGTATTAACACATAGCATTTTATCAACTTAGTTCTATCTGTTTCTAATATGTTAAAACAATTGGATTTTTTTATGTAATCCAGGTGTAAAAGGGGAGACCATTTTGACAAAGTGAATTTTTTATTTTATTATTATTTGTTTTTATAAAACCCATGATATTAATATTCAAATTGATTTTGATAGCCTTTATTTAAGGTCAATATAGAGAAACTCCAATGTTAGCTCCTAGGGAACTGCTGCTACACCAGGCAGCCATCCTTTAGCAGTGTTTTCACTTATATACCTGTATCCCAACCCACTATCGAATAATTGTCTGTTGCATTTACAACCCATCCCCTCAGTACTCTACACCTGAAAATTCCAACTCTTAAACAGAACATTATGTTCATATCACCCATCAGTTTTTACAAAAGGAGACAAAACATACATCCTCACAAAATGCATTCTAATATTAAAGTGTGAAGCTAATTCTATACAGTATTCTGTGTGTAAAAAAAAAAAAAATAGAGGTGACTAACACATGTGTCCAGTCGCCATGTGGCCTCAAGTAATAGTAGTTGACTAATACATGTGTCCAGTTCCCATGTGGCCCCAAGTAACAGGAGTTGACTAATACATATGTCCAGTTGTCACGTTGCCTCATATACAGGAGTTGACTAATATATGCGTCCAGTTGCCATGTGGCCTCAAGTAACCGTAGTTGACTAATACATGTGTCCAGTCACCATGTGGCCTCAAGTAACCGTAGTTGACTAATACATGTGTCCAGTTCCCATGTGGCCCCAAGTAACAGGAGTTGACTAATACATATGTCCAGTCGCCATGTGGCCTCAAGTAACAGGAGTGACTCATACATGTGTCCAGTTACCATGTGGCCTTTAGTAACAGTAGTTGACTAATACATGTGTCCAGTCGCCTTGTGGCCTTAAGTAACAGGAGTTGAATTATACATGTGTCCAGTTGCCATGTGACCTCAACAATTGAGTATGTGGCTGAAAATCATCATTTCATTTCTAAAAAGTTTTTAAAAAATGTCTAAAAATATGTTTGGCTCCTGATATATATGTTTATATACTCTATCCCTCGTTCCAGTTTCTCTCATCAACTCACACAATCCTTCATATGGTAATGTGGAACTGGCATGTTCACAAAAGCCAATGCATCCCCCAGGAAATGACATTTGATTATTCTTTTTTACTGGGACAAATTCCACTATGTGACGTACATTATGTATGGGCAGTTTTCCTTTGATAGACAAATGCATCATATCAAACTTATATTTAAAACCCCAGGCAAGAAATTGATTTGTGCATTATTTGTGAATGTTAGTATGTAGCAAGCAGTTATGAAAAGATTTGAACGTTACAAAGTGAGAATAATGCTAGATAGAAAATAGGTTTAATGTAAAAAAAATGTAAATTAAGATTTACCCTTTACTCAGACAGCTATATTTTAAAATGGCAGTTTGTAAAAAAAAAAGGCTAACTTTCAAATTTGAACTTTAGGAGTGGACCAACTAATATTTCATCTGAACTCTAAGAGTGACTGTAATAATTTATCTGAACTGTAGGAGTGGAGTAACCTGTACTATTTCATCTGAATTTTATTCTGGACTTACTGTACTATTTCATATGAATTGTATGTGGGATTAACTGGAATATTTCATCCCAATTGTATGCTGCACTAACTATATTTTATCTGAACTGTGGGATTGGACTAACTGTAATATTTCATCAAAACCAGGAAGGGCTTCCCTTTTCAGCAGAGGGCTGTATGAAAGCATATTAGTCTAGAGATCTAACTTTAATATACAACGTTAAGTGTGGCTGTAAAAATTTCAGCTCCCACATGTGGCCAAATGGCCATAAGTTGGCCACCCCTGATCTGAACTGTAGAATGAACTTTAGTAATAATTATTCTAAACTTTAGACCAGTGCTAGGGCTCTGAAGTGTCACAGGTGTAACACAGGCATATAAATAAATAACAGGTATTAAAATAAATAACATATTGTATTTAAATAAAATAATACATGTATTTAAATAAAAAAACATGTTTTTAAACATATTACACGTTTTCAAATAAGTAACAGGTATTTAAAATAAATAATGTAGGTATTTAAATAAATAAAAAAATTTAAAATGATAATTAAAATGCTGAGAAATATTGTCAGGTGAATGGCCAAACAAAAAACCTCTGCTGCCATAAGTGCTGGATTAATTATTTTGGACTAGATTCATAAGAAAGTAAAATGTCTACTGTACTCCAGAAAAGTGGTATTGTGTGAATGAATGATGAAGATACCATTAAGGGTTTGTGTGAATGAATGATGCAGATAGAGGCATTGTGTGAATTAATGGTGCAGACAATGGTATTGTGGGTTTGAATGTTACAGACACCAGAGAGGTATTGTGTGAATGAATGATGATTCTATATATATATGTTTGTGAGTGACTATCTAAAATGCAATAATATTAATCATGCTATCAGGAAAATAAAAATAAAAAATAAATAAAAATAAATTTTCAAAGAATGATTATTAATGTTTTAAAAAAATAAGCGTTATCTGAAAGATTTGTCAGTGTTTAATATGTTTTGCAAGACATGAGCCTACAACACAGTCATCGATAGATGCAAGGTTTGGGTTCATTCATACAATACACAGTCATCAATAGATGCAAGGTTTGGGTTCAGTCATACAATAACTATATGTACCTTGTGTAAGAGAGAACATGCCGTTGGGTTTTTCCTTTATTTTATAAACAACTTCCACTGCAGTTTTGCAAGTGGCAATAACAGGCACCATGGGAGAAAATGCACAATTGCAAACACATAGTTGTCCAGTACAGTGAAAAGAAAAGACAGAAATAATTGCAATCAAAGTTAGGAAACTGTGCCATGGAGTGTCATGCGGCAGTCTCATTGTATCGAGAGGATCATGGCATGCCAAGTTGTCGTATGTACACGACAGTAAGGGTCAGGATGATAATCATGGCATGCTACATTAGAGTAGCAAACGATCAAATTCCTAGATTTACTTTATTATAGAAAAGTGTTAGAGCTACCCTCAGTCCAGAACAACTTACTCTTTTTGCGAACACTTCTCTTTTTGGGCTTTCCTAAAGAGAGTATAAAAGGAACCAAGGTCATAAGCCTCAGTAGCCATTGATACACAAGTCAAGAAAGTTTATTGACAAACCAGTCCAGTAAGTAAAAAAAAAAAAAAGTCTATTTAAAGTACAGTAAGTCTAATGACAAACCAGTCCAGTAAGTCTATTGACATGCCAGTCAATTAAGTCCATTGATGCTCCAGTGATTTTTGTTTAATGAGACACAGTCAATGAAGTCTATTTTCCACAAGTCAAGAAAGTCTATTTTTACACCAGTCAATGTAAGTCTATACACCAGTCAAGCAAGTCTATTGACACACCAGTCAAAGTAAGTCTATTTATACACAAGTGATGTAAGTCTATTTATACACAAGTGATGTAAGTCTATTTATACACCAGCCAAGTCAGTCTATTTATACATCGGTCCAGTAAGTCTTTTTTTCACCAGTGAAATGGGTATTTCATTTAAATGTGTATTTGTTTGCTATGTTTATTTGTATATTCTTCAATTCAAAAGATCACAAGGAAATTACTTGAATGTGTATGTTAAAAGCTACTAGAGCCATTTATAAATGCTGTAGTTTAATGGCCAGTAACTAGATTTTTATGTGAATTTCAATTTCAATAAAATGTAACCATCTTTTTAAAATCCTGAATAATAAGAGTGCAACAAAAAAAAAAAAATAATAACTCATTTCAATAAATATTGTAAATTCAACCATTTTTATTCATTTTAAAATGACCAACATCCTCAATAAAACAAAAATATTAGTTTGGAAATCAAAAGGTAGAATCATGCATGCTGTTATTCATGTCTTTGTTAAATTGAAAGAAACTTTTTTTCTTTTATGGTGGCTTCATATAGTCTATAGTGGTTATAAGTAGCTTATAGGTTTTCTTTGTGTTACACTATGTTGATTATCTGACATACCAAAATATAGCTTCATAAATAATATGAAATATCAACTATCTTATACAACAATCAGCTTCTCATCTTATTATTTTGGGAATATTTGCATTTAAATGTTTTACTGTTGAATAAGGATATTCTAATTGTGCAATCAGGGTATTCCCATTGTGCAGTAAAAAAAAAAAAAAACTAAAGGCACCTCTCAAAACTTCTAGGAAAGACAAATCTTAAACTCTTGTTAGTTGGTATATAAAAAAATAACAATCATTCCAAATTCAAATACTTGTCTATTAAAGTTAATTGTTTTTGGATTTTTTCCTTGTCTTTTAAAAAAGCGGGTCAAGTAATCACTCAAAAATATACATTAAAAAAAGTGTAGGGATAAAGGTGATTAAAATACTTAAGAATAGTGTGAATATCTTACCATCTGGGGTGCTATAGTCATCTTCTTCCTCCACAATTTCAGCATAGTCCGATATCCCTGCCATTCAAAAGTCACAGAGAAGCAGAGAAAAGTTTTTTTATCATGGGCAAGCAAAAGGGCAACAGGCAAAGTGCAGTGAAGTGGGGAACAAATGAGATTATTGGGAGTATAGACAAGGTATTACATTACAGCAGCATGTTTCATGCCAGTGGTGGAAATATTTGGTTTCATAGTAGGAAAGAGCAAAGACTTTGCCTAAGTTAGTCACTGCACTAAAACGATGCTTAAAAGGAATGGGGCGTAAGTTGTAAGAGGCAGAAATGTAACATTATTGATATTACAAAAAAAAAATAAAAAAAATAAGAAGTCTTCATAAACAGGAAAGAAACGCCCTGCTAGTGCATAGATTTATCTTTTGGGCAGTTTGATCACAGATTATTTGAAGAAATAAAAAGCTTAATTGTTATATACAATCAGCTTGCTAAATAAGTATGAATGAGTTAACTGTCTTGGATTATTTCAAGGTAATATTTCAAAAAGCACAAAGACAAGCAATGACCAGCTGCTTTAGGACTGGAACCAAATCTAAAAGAAATGTCTGGTCAACAGATATTTCTAGTTGTTTTCATTGCCCCTTAGACGAATATCGACAATGCTCTTAATTGTGCTTCAAGATTTAAAAGATGTGCTTAAGATGTACTATTTAAAAAAATTATTTAAAATGTGTAAACAAATAAACCGAGAAGAAAAGGCATCTAGTACCACGATGCTTTCAAACTCTTCAACAAAGCAAAAATTCAATAATAAAAACACTATTAAATAATTAGAACTTGTATAGATTTTATCAGCCAGTTGCCAAGTTAGAATCCTAAATATTTCTATTCCATGTTATCTGGCTTTTAAAACATGGTAATGTGATTTATTAAAGAGTTAGTAAAATCTGCATCATACTTTTACATAGAGCCTTACTATTTTTTTTTTTTACATGCATTCTTCATCAGAATGTAATTTTAATACAAAGAAAGAGGGAATATAAATATGTGTATTGCTATGCTAATGGTATATAGATAAAAGTCATGGAAGAAACTAACCAATTAAGTCATGTAAATTTCATAATTTTTGTGGATTTAAGAAGAAAAAAATTATGTTTAAACGTTAACTTACACATAATTGTTAATTTTATCTCTTTTTTATAAATCTTTATCTTATATGTCCCCTGGGAAAATTTAAATGTTACTTGAAACTGAGAATATTCAGATTGTTAAAATCTGGCCAACCTAGCAGAACTATAAATAGAAAAATGAATGCCAGACAAAGAAAGAAACCATGGGGAACTCCCTTAAACTAGTGAACCAATCAATATAGTACAACAACATACTTTCATTGCCAGAAAACACATCCTCTGTTCTCCCTCCACCAACCCTTGGGTAGCTGGGGAACAAAACAAGTTTTTTAAGTGAGTGTTACTTATGCCTATAATATATATGCTACTTATGCCTATAATATATATGTTACTTATGCCTTTAATATATATGTTACTTATGCCTATAATAGATATTATGTTACTTATGCCTATAATATATATGTTACTTAACCCTATAATATATATGTTACTTAACCCTATAATATATATGTTACTTATGCCTATAATATAAGCATGGACATATATATGAAATTCAAAAATGGTGTCTAACTATATTGTCCTAGTGAAGCCATGTAATAACAAACATAGTAATTACCAGATGCAGAAAAATGAGAAAGAAAATTTGTAAAAACAACAAAATAAATATTTGATGACAAGTAGGGTTATAAATCCCTGTAAAAATGAACACAAAAAGACAGAAGAGTTTTCCCCTGAGCCAATGTAAGGGTTTTGTCCCCTATTTTGTATTTGAATTATGTAAGTTTCATTTAATAGAAAACTTTAGTTGGTAAAAAAACTTATGCCAAGGTTTTACATTTAGAAATAAATTAAGTGGAAACATTACAAGTACCAAGTGATGGGAGATAACTCAATTTAAACAAATAATTTAAGCTGTTCAGTTTATCAGTGAATATCTCCCATTACATTCTCCTCCCCCCCCACCCCCCTACCCCCACGAGTGTGTTATGGGATGGTGTGCCTGGAATAAAACGTTTGGTTAAAGCTTGGTTCAATGAATTAACAATAATAAAAGGAGTGACTCACATGCTGATTGCCTTGGGGTAGGGGTCCTCTGTGATATTGGGGAGAGAGGTGGGTGTCAAGGGAAGGGAAGTCTTTTTGAAAGATTTGATATTAAGATACTTTAGCCGTGGGGTGGGGGTAATGTGGGAGTTTGAGGGGTGTAGCTGAATTTGTATGTGATGTTTGGGGGAAGGAAAATAAGTTTTTGGGGTGGGAAGAGGTGGTGTCTGTGTGTGCTTGTGATTGTGAAGAGGTATAAAATTCTCTCTCTCTCTTTTTTTCTATCTGAATTAAAGATGACTGGGGTGAGGGTGGTGTGGATAGAGTTGTGGGGGAGGTGCTATGGAAATGTCAGAATATTCACCGACCCCAATGCCTCTTTCCTTCCATTTCCAATGCAAATGTTTTCTGACCACCAGAGAGGAGGCTGTAAACATTTGGTCACTTGTGCACATAGTAAATCACTCTCATACAATTACTTTTGGGCCCTTATTATTTGCAACAAACCCACTTTCCTTTAGCATCAAGAAACTCAACCACCTTTCTTTTAGCAACAAGTACCTCAACCCCCTTTCTTTTAGCAAAAAGCACTTCAGTGGTGTCTTGTGATGTAAAAGAAAATAGGATATCATCACAAAAAGAAACAATGCAGATAAACATATAATACCCACCACCCATTTTTTTAAAAACCACTCTCATTTTCCTAACTGACCTTTTCCTTAATGCTGAAATTCTTTAAGAACCAACATTTCTTCTCTCACAATGATTTTCCCTGGTAGCTACCATAGATTTTGTGTTACAAGTTTCTTCTCTCACAATGTCTTTAGCTAGCTTAGTTTTTGGGGTACAAGTTTCTTCTCTCACAATGTCTTTAGCTACCATAGTTTTTGTGTTACAAGTTTCTTCTCTCGCAATATCTTTAGCTACCATAGTTTTTGTGTTACAAGTTTCTTATCTCACAATGTCTTTAGCTAGCTTAGTTTTTGTGTTACAAGTTTCTTCTCTCGCAATATCTTTAGCTAGCATAGTATTTGGGATACAAGTTTCTTCTCTCACAATGTCTTTAGCTACCATAGTTTTTGCGTTACAAGTTTCTTCTCTCGCAATATCTTTAGCTAGCTTAGTTTTTGTGTTACAAGTTTCTTCTCTCGCAATATCTTTAGCTAGCATAGTATTTGGGATACAAGTTTCTTCTCTCACAATGTCTTTAGCTACCATAGTTTTTGTGTTACAAGTTTCTTCTCTCACAATGTCTTTAGCTAGCTTAGTTTTTGTGTTACAAGTTTCTTCTCTCGCAATATCTTTAGCTACCATAGTTTTTGTGTTACAAGTTTCTTCTCTCACAATGTCTTTAGCTAGCTTAGTTTTTGTGTTACAAGTTTCTTCTCTCGCAATATCTTTAGCTACCATAGTTTTTGTGTTACAAGTTTCTTATCTCACAATGTCTTTAGCTAGCTTAGTTTTTGTGTTACAAGTTTCTTCTCTCGCAATATCTTTAGCTAGCATAGTATTTGGGATACAAGTTTCTTCTCTCACAATGTCTTTAGCTAGCTTAGTTTTTGTGTTACAAGTTTCTTCTCTCACAATGTCTTTAGCTAGCTTAGTTTTTGTGTTACAAGTTTCTTCTCTCACAATGTCTTTAGCTAGCTTAGTTTTTGGGGTACAAGTTTCTTCTCTCACAATGTCTTTAGCTAGCTTAGTTTTTGGGGTACAAGTTTCTTCTCTCACAATGTCTTTAGCTAGCTTAGTTTTTGGGGTACAAGTTTCTTCTCTCACAATGTCTTTAGCTAGCTTAGTTTTTGGGGTACAAGTTTCTTCTCTCACAATGTCTTTAGCTAGCTTAGTTTTTGGGGTACAAGTTTCTTCTCTCACAATGTCTTTAGCTAGCTTAGTTTTTGGGGTACAAGTTTCTTCTCTCACAATGTCTTTAGCTAGCTTAGTTTTTGGGGTACAAGTTTCTTCTCTCACAATGTCTTTAGCTAGCTTAGTTTTTGGGGTACAAGTTTCTTCTCTCACAATGTCTTTAGCTAGCTTAGTTTTTGGGGTACAAGTTTCTTCTCTCACAATGTCTTTAGCTAGCTTAGTTTTTGGGGTACAAGTTTCTTCTCTCACAATGTCTTTAGCTAGCTTAGTTTTTGGGGTACAAGTTTCTTCTCTCACAATGTCTTTAGCTAGCTTAGTTTTTGGGGTACAAGTTTCTTCTCTCACAATGTCTTTAGCTAGCTTAGTTTTTGGGGTACAAGTTTCTTCTCTCACAATGTCTTTAGCTAGCTTAGTTTTTGGGGTACAAGTTTCTTCTCTCACAATGTCTTTAGCTAGCTTAGTTTTTGGGGTACAAGTTTCTTCTCTCACAATGTCTTTAGCTAGCTTAGTTTTTGGGGTACAAGTTTCTTCTCTCACAATGTCTTTAGCTAGCTTAGTTTTTGGGGTACAAGTTTCTTCTCTCACAATGTCTTTAGCTACCTTAGTTTTTGTGTTACAAGTTTCTTCTCTCACAATGTCTTTAGCTAGCTTAGTTTTTGGGTTACAAGTTTCTTCTCTCACAATGTCTTTAGCTAGCTTAGTTTTTGGGGTACAAGTTTCTTCTCTCACAATGTCTTTAGCTAGCTTAGTTTTTGTGTTACAAGTTTCTTCTCTCGCAATATCTTTAGCTAGCATAGTATTTGGGATACAAGTTTCTTCTCTCACAATGTCTTTAGCTACCATAGTTTTTGCGTTACAAGTTTCTTCTCTCGCAATATCTTTAGCTAGCTTAGTTTTTGTGTTACAAGTTTCTTCTCTCGCAATATCTTTAGCTAGCATAGTATTTGGGATACAAGTTTCTTCTCTCACAATGTCTTTAGCTACCATAGTTTTTGTGTTACAAGTTTCTTCTCTCACAATGTCTTTAGCTAGCTTAGTTTTTGTGTTACAAGTTTCTTCTCTCGCAATATCTTTAGCTACCATAGTTTTTGTGTTACAAGTTTCTTATCTCACAATGTCTTTAGCTAGCTTAGTTTTTGTGTTACAAGTTTCTTCTCTCGCAATATCTTTAGCTAGCATAGTATTTGGGATACAAGTTTCTTCTCTCACAATGTCTTTAGCTAGCTTAGTTTTTGTGTTACAAGTTTCTTCTCTCACAATGTCTTTAGCTAGCTTAGTTTTTGTGTTACAAGTTTCTTCTCTCACAATGTCTTTAGCTAGCTTAGTTTTTGGGGTACAAGTTTCTCCTCTAACAATTTATTTAGATAACATAGTTTTTGGGATACAAGTTTCTTCTCTCACAATGTCTTTAGCTAGCTTAGTTTTTGGGATACAAGTTTCTTCTCTCACAATGTCTTTAGCTAGCATAGTTTTTGGGATACAAGTTTCTTCTCTCACAATGTCTTTAGCTACCTTAGTTTTTGGGATACAAGTTTCTTCTCTCACAATGTCTTTAGCTAGCTTAGTTTTTGGGGTACAAGTTTCTCCTCTAACAATTTATTTAGATAACATAGTTTTTGGGATACAAGTTTCTTCTCTCGCAATATCTTTAGCTAGCATAGTATTTGGGATACAATATTCCCCAGCAAAGAGCATCCTTCCTTCCCACAATTATCGGATAGAAGAATTTTTAAAACCAAAATCAACCCATTTGGCATTTGATGTAAATAGGCGTTTCGGAACAGTCCAATGTAAAATTCCCCTACACGTGATTAATAGTTCATCTCTATGCATATCAGCGTTCAGAATTTATTGTATCCTCTAAGGCCCTGTGTGTCCGTGAGTAAGACATCAATTGACTATGGTCGGCAATGACAGTGTGCGTGACCGAAACTTGGTGGGTCAGGACAGGAGTGGTGGGGTGAGACTGGCTTGGTCAGGACGGGAGTGGGAGTCAGACTGGGTGGGTCAGGGCGGGAGTGTGATTGGGTGGGTCAGGACGGGAGTGGGACTGGGTGGGTCAGGACGGGAGTGGGGTGAGACTGGCTTGGTCAGGACGGAAGTGGGGGTGAGACTGGGTGGGTCAGGGCGGAAGTGAGATTAGGTGGGTCGGGATAGCAGAAGGACTTGGTGGGTCAGGACGGAAGGGGTGGTTGAGACTGACTGGGTTGGGAGTGACACTGGGTGGGTCAGAACGGAAGAGGTGGGGTGAGACTGGCTTGGTCAGGATGGGAGAGAGATTGGGTGGTTCAGGACGGGAGTGAGATTGGGTGGTTCAGGACGGGAGTGAGATTGGGTGGGTTAGGATGGGAGTGGGGATGAGACTTGGTGTGTCAGGACGGGAGTGTGACTGGGTCAGTAAGGATGGGAGTGTGACTGGATGGGTCAGGACGGGAGTGAGATTGGGTGGTTCAGGACGGGAGTGAGATTGGGTGGTTCAATAAGGGAGTGAGATTGGGCGGTTCAGGACGGGAGTGGGACAGGATGGGTCAGGACAGGAGTGGGATTGGGTGGGTTAGGATGGGAGTGGGGATGAGACTTGGTGTGTCAGGACGGGAGTGTGACTGGGTCAGTAAGGATGGGAGTGTGACTGGATGGGTCAGGACGGGAGTGAAACTGGATGGGTCAGGATGGGAGTGGAGTGAGACTTGGTGAGTCAGGAAAGGAGTGAGAATTGATGGGTCAGAATTGGGGGGGGGGCTGGGGGGGCCAGGAAAGGAATGCGACTGGGTGGGTAAGGACGGAAATGGGTGAGACTTGGTGGGCCAGGTCAGGAGTGAGATTTTGTGGGCCAAAACGGGAGTGAGGCGGTGGGTTAGGACAGGAATGTGGTGAGACTTGGTGGGCCAGGTCGGGAGTGAGACTTGGTTGGCCAGGTCGGGAGTGAGACTTGGTGGGCACGGGCGGGAGTGAGGCTGGGTGAGTTAGGACGGGAAGCGGGTGAGACTTGGTGGGTCAGGTCGGGAGTGAGAATGGGTGGGTCAGGATGGGTAGGTCAGGATGGGAGTTAGACTGGGTCGGTCAACATTGCTCTAGGGTTTGTGCCACTGGAACAAAGCACTATCGACACTGCCATTAGGTCTGTGCCAATGAAACAAAGCACTATCAACATTGCCATGCGGCTTGAGGCCGCGGTAAATAAAATGAACTCGTCAGGAAATCGATCTAACGAGCGACCGGAAGTTCAAAGTTGGGGTGTATGAGGAGAGAAGGACAGTCTTGTTCCTCTAATAGCTGGGGTGTTTGGGGGGGGGGGTGAAAGAATTGTGTAGTAGAGAGGAGGGGGGCATGTGCTAAAATTGCATTGAGAAATCTCTTGACATGTGAAAACTGAAAGAGGGGACGCTTGGTGACCGCTTGGTGACCGAGGTCAGTAATTCAAGATGGATGCAAGCATTGAGTTGGATACATAATTATACTCCTTCAATAAACTACATTGTCAACGTATGACCATAAATGTTGTTAAAATTAAAATAGTCTTTTGATTTGACAGTCACCTATGGCACAACCATAAGGCAAATAATACTCTTGTCTATTAATTAAACTACGAGAAACATTAAGTTCTCAACTTTGGCTCAGTTGTGACGTATGACGGGGTCATGAAGTGCTGGTAATTCAGATGGTCGTTTAAAATGTTATTATTTAATATTTTTGATGTCCTTGGGCTTGACAATTGTGCCAAAGAATAACCACGTTCTAAAAATATTCTAACTTTTGAGAGTTCTAAAAAGAAACCTGTGTATGTCGAATGCTCTATGATTACCCTTCATGTGCTGCATGCTCTTGGAATACTCTAATGTGTGCTGCATGTTCTAGGAATTTCCTTCATGCGTGCTGCATGTTCTAGGAACACCGTTTACGTGTTCTGCATGTTCTAGAAATATCCTTACATATGCTGCATGTTCTAAGGAAATAATTACAATGCGCTGCATGTACTAGAAATACTTTTTACGTGTGCTGCATGTTATGGGAATCGGGAAACATTACCCAATCTTTCTATTTTATTGTTTGCACAAGGGAATGCCTATATGAGGTGATAGACAACATTAGGGAATGACTATATGATGTGATATACAACAGTAGGGAATGCCTATATGAGGTGATAGACAACACTTGGGATTGACTATAGGAGGTGATAGACAACATTAGGGAATGCCTATATGAGGTGATAGACAACACTTGGGATTGACTATAGGAGGTGATAGACAACATTAGGGAATGACTTTATGATGTGATAGACAACATTAGGGAATGACTACAGGAGGTGATATACAACATTAGGGAATGATTATAGGAGGTGGTAGCCAAACCTAGGGAATGACTTTGAATGTTAGGATGGACTAAGTGGGAGCCCAATGATTAGTGTCGCTGTGCCTGAGGTGGCTGGCAATGTTTGCTGGGCTAATATTGGACTGCCGCACACACTGCCAAGCAAGCCTAGACAGCTGACCTTGACATGTGAGTGCTATTGTCTAACACCTGTTCGGCACACACGGCAAGCAACTCCCATTGGCTAATGCTCACACTTGTTTAAGCTCTCTCTGTCTCTCTCAACTGTTTTCATCTTTATTGGGTATGTCTGATGTTAACTAATTTTAACCATTCCCCTTCAAATAACATGGACACTGTCTATTTTTAGATGACTACATAATTACATATATTTTAGTTCAACGGCAATAATTAATTAAGTGCCCCAGTTCTCAAGCCTCGCTCATCGTTAAATTATCATGAAATACAATGAAATTTTGAAGTAAATGATAATTTACCGTCACAAAAGTATATCAGTAAAATTGCATACCTATGACCCTGAGAAATTTTATAGTCTTATCAGATATGTTTTCTTTCGGTATTGAAGGAATCCTTTATACTTAACGGCTGTCTATTCTAGCCCAAATTTTACACTATAAGCTTTACTTCTAGCGGTATTACTGGAGGTAAATGTGGAAATATGAGGGTGGGCTGGGATGGAGTTATTACATGGTGACTATGATGGCGGTGAATGTGGAGATATGGGAGGTGGGCTGGGGTGATATTACACATTGGCGATAATGGTGAGTGTATTCATATGACGGGTGATTAGACAACATACATGACTAGCTCCTCTCAGAATTACGCTATTGAAATTTGCGCACAGTCGTTTGACATTCAAAAATCACTCAAATGACAGTTGAACACATTATTACAAACGATGCAAACATAAACAGATGAACGTAGATAACGAGATAATAAATGGACTACTCACTTGACTCGTGGAGTTCTGGGGATGGAGTCATCTGGAAACAACAAAGGATGGAAGTGTTTAAGTGGCTTGGCCAAACAAGTCCACATCTTCTAATGGTTAGTCAAATGTGAACAGTCAAGTCAAAAATTATAGATGTTAGTAACACCAATCTAATGAGATTTACACCAATCGGTGTTTAATGAGCACAGTTCTTGGACGGAACACCGACAGAATGACACCAGCATTAAGTAGTCTGTTAGATTTCACCGCAAGTAACCTGCTATATTATGAAAAGATCGTGTTAGTAAGTATATATATATGTGTGTATATAGGTAAGGCAGTAGGCAACTAACCACTAAAATATACCACGATGATAGGCTCGGTGGAGATGCCCACTTTTTTTCAATCTAGACAACTTTTTTTCAAACTAGACAACTTGAGGCCAATCTTTGTGCACATAACTGTACGACACATCAGATCGGTTCAAGCACAACCCGATAATAAATATAGATAATAGCAGGTCCAAAACAATGATGTATTGATGACCACAGTGAATTAACATCTGACTAAGATCACGGCATGATGCAAGCCTGCTTACTTCAGGAAGAAGTGTCCATCGCATTTTCACTGCACACCAGATTTACTATGCTATGAGCACGCAACACAGTCCGGAAAATAACTTATTTACTGGACATTTCTCTGTAGTTAATAATAGATGTATGTAAACACCAATAGCAACGCATTGTGTCCAACGAACGATGAACGACTCGGTGAGTGAATAGAAACTGTTTTTGAGATTACAACTTAATGTCAATGGAAGCCAACACGTTTTACTAAGGTTCTTAACAAAGACGCATCCGCACATGACAACAGGGAGAGTGGACGCCAAAACTTGTTACGCCGTGGACTGACCAATAACTGGGGGGCACAGACAAAAAGGAAGGGGAATAAAGACACCAGTAGAGCGACGGCACTCACTCGATCAATCAATAAAACTGTTGGGTGCCAGGGACGCTTGTGTGGAGTCATGGGAGAGGGGTATGCAGTGGCACATTCATACAAAGGGATGGAAAGAGCATTTCTAGAAAGACGAACGCAAGACGTAAATAATTTTGAAAGGATCTAAATACCCGGTAATTTGCAGTCACTATGGGTATGAAACACTAAGATATATAAAGCAGTAGTTTGACAGGAGTAGGGAGCAGTAGTACGAAGGACTAAGCACCTGTTCAGCGAAATCTTTTTTTGTCGTCCAGACAATATATGAAGAAGGGATGTTGTTTTCAAATACTTTCATTTTACCATTATAATAGACCCATGAGTGCTAAAAAGAGAAATAAGCGGGGATATTACCATTAGGGGGGGGGGTCTGCTTTCATGGAGACAAAGGTATGCTTTCATTGGGACAGATGTAGGCTATTATGGGGACAGGGGTATGTTTTCATGGGGACAGGGCTATGCTTTCATGGGGACAGGGGTATGCTTTCATGGAGACAAAGGTATGCTTTCATGGAGACAGGGCTATGCTTTCATGGAGACAGGGCTATGCTTTCCAGGAGACGGGGCTATGCTTTCATGGAGACAGCTATGCTTTCATGGAGACAGGACTATGCTTTCAAGGAGACGGGGCTATGCTTTCATGGAGACAGGGCCATGCTTTCATGGAGACAGGGCCATGCTTTCCTGGAGACAGGGCTATGCTTTCATGGAGGCAGAGCTATGCTTTCATGGAGACTGGGCTTATGCTTTAATGGACTTTTAAAAAAAGCACTTTGCTTTGTGGGCGGGTGGGGGGAAGAGGAGGAAGGGAAAATTCCGTTAATCTGAGTGCAATGTTGGATGAACCAAGTGACGACTGACAGAGAAGGGAGGAGTGTTGGGCACACAAAAAGGGGGTGGGTGGTGAATCAATTATCGTTAAAATACAAATGACAGGGGTGGGAGAGGGGAAGGGACATATTGGGGTGTAAGGGGGTCTTGGTGACAAATGAGGACGTGTTTTTTTTCCAGATGAGCGGGACAAAGAAACCAAGATGCAGACTGGTTAATATTACAAACACTAGAGGGTGTCACTAGAGGGTGTCACTAGAGGGTGACACTAGAGGGTGTCACTAGAGGGTGACACTAGAGGGTGACACTAGAGGGTGACACTAGAGGGTGACACTAGAGGGTGACACTAGAGGGTGACACTAGAGGGTGACACTAGAGGGTGACACTAGAGGGTGACACTAGAGGGTGTCTAAGATTTGGCTTGTGTGGTATTGTTTTGTTCAGTCTATACGTGATAGAACCCTAATGGTTCACCAAATGTAATTAAACACGTGTGATTAAAAAAAAGTATGATTGAACAAGTAGATTGAAAAAAGTATATAAATCAAGCGTGATTGAACCAAGTGTAATTGAACAAAGTATGATTGAAAAAAAGTGTGATTGAAAAAAGTGTGATTGAACAAAGTGTGATTGAACAAAGTGTGATTGAACAAAGTGTGATTGAACAAAGTGTGATTGAACAAAGTGTGATTGAACAAAGTGTGATTGAACAAAGTGTGATTGAACAAAGTGTGTTGATGGCAAATTTTAACAACAGTTTCAGTAAAGCCGATGGACATGAGTCGATACCAAATTAGGAGCCAGGATCGCTGGGTATGCTTGTAATTAGATCAGTTATTCTAAATACCTCTCGCTGCGGGCATGACCAATTAGAGATCGCAGGAAAACACAACCGGAACTAAAGTCAACTGAAATGTCTCCATGGCAACGATCAGAACGCGCCGTCACAGCTAACAGTCAGGGTCATTGACTCGGGGGAGGGTGGGTAGGCGCTAAGCACCCAGATCTAAATAGTGTTGGTCCTGTGATTAGTTGACCGTTGTTTTCTTCTAAAAACTGGCGTCAATTCTAGTGTTGGTTTTACAATGGATTTAATAAAACCCGTTATTTCTTCCATTCATACAGTACTAATTCTTTGTTTCGAAGGTCAAGGGTCACTACAGTAAAGTGAAGTGAAGTGTTGATTACAAGACGTTGTAAATATATGTGTTGGCACTAGGCGCAGGGGGGGGCGAGGGCGGGGTATGCGGGGCAGGTTGTTGTTGGTGAGATAATGGGATGGATGAGGAAACATGAAAATAATGCAGGTTGAGAGTGGGAAGATTGTACAAATAAGACATGTGTCATAAAGGATGAGATAGGGAAGATTGTACAAATAAGACATGTGTCACGTCATGAAGGATGAGTGTGGGAAGATTGTGCAAATAAGACATGTGTCACGTCATGAAGGATGAGTGTGGGAAGATTGTGCGAATAAGACATGTGTCACGACATGAAGAATGAGAGTGGGAAGATTGTGCAAATAAGACATGTGTCACGTCATGAAGGATGAGTGTGGGAAGATTGTGCAAATAAGACATGTGTCACGTCATGAAGAATGAGAGTGGGAAGATTGTGCAAATAAGACATGTGTCACGTCATGAAGGATGAGTGTGGGAAGATTGTGCAAATAAGACATGTGTCACGTCATGAAGGATGAGTGTGGGAAGATTGTGCAAATAAGACATGTGTCATAAAGGATGAGAGTGGGAAGATTGTGCAAATAAGACGTGTCATAAAGGATGAGAGTGGGAATATTGTACATATAAGACACGAGTCGTGAAGGATGAGTGTGGGAAGATTGTACAAATAAGACATGTGTCATAAAGGATGAAAGTGAAAAGATTGTACAAATACGACATGTGTCCGCTATACAACAGGTTTACAACTGGTTTTAAAATTCCTTTGTGACTCGGATCTCGAATTGAAACTGAGATATCCCAACAAGTAATGAAGACATGGGATGACGTTTGGGATGTGATATGTCCCAACAAGTAATGAAGACATGGGATGACGTTTGGGATGGGTTGTGAAAGTAGGGCCTGAGCCAACAGTATTCCATTTTGAAAAAAATAAAAGCAGGAAAACACATCAAATTGAATTCCATATCTGAATTTTTGCACTTTTTTTCCACCACGTAGGAAATACTTCATTTTCCAAAAATCTGGAGGCACCCCATAGCAAGCGCTTGGCCGCCATTGTTTAAATCAATCAGAAAACGTTGTGTTGTTTGCTATAGTTCGTCTTAAGCCTTGTTCAACATCTCTCTTTATACAATTTATACAAAGTGAAGAGTTCAACTAGAAAGCGAAAAAATATAATGATGTTACCACACATTCATAACCGACGCTTGCCTGCATTACAGCAGCTATGAAAGAGTGGATTCATAAAGTGAAATTATGGTAAAATATAGAGCATTATTTCTATGTCTTTCCGATCTTGAGTTGTTCAAATAGGGCAAAGATGGCCATTTATTTTCAACTTTTGTACAAATAGAAAAAAAAAAGAAAACACATTCGATAGCTTGCCTGGAGAAATTCTAGAAGTAAACTCACGTACAAATTGGCAGTAGCCACTGCAACGGTCCATGTTTATAAGGAGCATTGGGTCAGAGAAACTAACATTTGAAGAGTCAATAGAAACAACACATTTCCATGTTTTTACCCTAAAAATCAGATGGTCATATAGCCAGGGACTGCTTTGGAATAAGGACGTACACTAACATGTAGTATGATACTACCTTGGAATAAGGACGTACACTGACTGGCAGTGTGTTACTGCCTTGGAATATGGACGTACACTGACTGGCAGTGTGTTACTGCCTTGGAATAAGGGCGTGCACTGACTGGCAGTGTGGTACTGCCTTGGAATAAGAACGTGCTCTGGCTGGCAGTGTGATACTGCCTTGGAATAAGGGCGTACACTGACTGGCAGTGTTGTACTGCCTTGGAATAAGGACGTACACTGGTATGGTACTGCCTTGGAATGCGGACGTGCACCAACAGGCAGTGTAGTACTACTGGCGTGTAGCATGCTGGAATCACAATGGTCCACATTGATCAGAGTATTGATGTCTGAGGCACAGCTGCCTGCCTATTTTGAAGACAGACAATTGCGGCCTTCGGGTGACCTGGTCAATATTGCACTGACCTCGTTTGCTTTGGGTTTTTTTTTCTTCTTCTTTTAAACTGGAGAATCTGTTTTATTTTGATTGGTTTAGATGAGCTCAGACGAGGGACTGTCTTTAGATTTATTCTCTCCATCCATCATTAAGTGCTATCATCAAACCTTTTAACATCTCTCTAAGCTTTGTGATGCCATCTTAAATCCCACTACTTGAAGCTTCATGTACTATAACTATTATTACCTCATATCCAACGGAATGAAGTTTCATAAAAGTTCCATAACCTTAAGTCCCACTGATTGAAGTTTCATGTTCAAAAACTATTATTAAGTCATCCCAAATAATAAAGTCGAATTTGAAGTGCATTTATTTTGTATATAATATTCGGATAAACTTACTCGTAATCTACTCTATATCCCACAGGCACGGGATACATCAAAGCATGAATGCCCACCATGTCATGGATACCCAGCTTCCCATAAAGACCCACCATCCGACAAACACCAACCATCCCGCAAATGCCCACCATGTCATGGATACCCAGCTACCCATAAAGACCCACCATCCGACAAACACCAACCATCCCGCAAATGCCCACCATGTCATGGATACCCAGCTACCCATAAAGACCCACCATCCGACAAACACCAACCATCCGGCAAATGCCCACCATGTCATGGATACCCAGCTTCCCATAAAGACCCACCATCCGACAAACACCAACCATCCGGCAAATGCCCACCATGTCATGGATACCCAGCTTCCCATAAAGACCCACCATCCGACAAACACCAACCATCCCGCAAATGCCCAACATGTCATGGATACCCAGCTTCCCATAAAGACCCACCATCCGACAAACACCAACCATCCCGCAAATGCCCACCATGCCACGAACGCTCACTATGCCATGAACTCCCACAGCCCCCTGAAGTTGAACATTGATATCATTAACCCGTTGTTCTATTATAGTGCAATCACCCACACAACTTTGTAATCTCAACCGTAGAAAAGGGTGGGGGAAGGAAGGAACACCAACCTTAATTAAAGAACAACTCTTCGCCACATACTAGCCCCATACCACGCTCGTTATTGTAAGCCATCATTGAAAGGTTTCCTTCCAAATTATCCATATCTTTAAAAGGACTTGAATCCCTCAATAAAAAATCCATTTAAAAAAAAGTAAAATACATTTCAGCAAGGGTTCGGGATTGGGATTTGGGGGGGGGGTGGGGGTGGTAGGGGTCGGGGGTTTGAATAAAAAAATAAAAAATCCATTTAAAAAAAAGTAAAATACATTTCAGCAAGGGTTCGGGATTGGGATTTGGGGGGGGGGGTGGGGGGGGTAGGGGTCGGGGGTTTGAATAAAAAACAAAATGTTCCCAAAATTAGCTTAAGATTCCATTGACAATACTGATGATTTGACACACAATAAATCACCAATGACCAGGTCGACATCCGTGCTCAAAGAGCGTCATATGGCGGGGGACATATTATTTTGATCAAGTGAACAATGATGAGAAGTTTATTTGTTTCTGATGCCGGAGACTGGTGGTGCAGACGGGAGAGTGATGGTGCAGACGGGAGAGCGATGGTGCAGCCGGGGGAGTGATGGTGCAGACAGCTATAATGAAAAGAGGTGAATCACCGCACGTGCGTGTCTATCGATTGGTTGGGCTACACACACCTCCATTCACAGGCGGCAACTGTATTTCGGTGAATGCCTATAACTAACCAGTACTGGATTACAGGGTCGGGATAACAAAACCGAATGGCTAAAAAATCGGTGATACCGACAATTCGTGTGCTAACGCTATCCACTCTGAGATTCGTTGTTTTCTCTCCGGCGTCTGGAAGTCCTTCTCCAGATTTATGTCCAGACTCAGTAATCCCGCTTGATACAGCTCAATTCCCAATGGAGACGGGCAACCCTTTAAATAGGATTCCCATTCCAACACGCAGCTTTACGCGTTGCTGACATCTTCCTCGAGTCTCATTTTGCTAGATGAATCACGGAATCAGCCTCGCTTGACATCATCACCAAGTACTCCATGCCTTGATACCATCTCTACAATATTCCTCATTTAATGTCTCTTAAAATAACCATAACTCTTTCATATTTCCCTTTCAGCCCCAGAAGGGCAACGACCGAGCAAGTCATCCAGCGTGTAATTTTCTCGGCCAGAATAGTTAGATCCCTTTTCACTAAAGTTCCATGACAAGCAGAGTCATCTAAAGCGATTTCGTGTTCAATTCAGAGTAAATTTAAAGTTTCAGGTGTTTATTAAAACTCCTAAAAATTATAATTTGAAATGATCGTTGCCAGAAACTTCAACAAATCAACAATTATAAACTTTGAAATCATCTAGAAAAGATTCAACAAAATACAATGATTGAAAAACCAAACAGTACAAACCAACCCACGTGTCAGAAGAAAGCCTCCTTCAGTGAACAACCCATAAAGAGCATTTAAACAACCAATAAAGAGCATGTGAACAACCCATAAAGAGCATTTAAACAACCAATAAAGAGCATGTGAACAACCAATAAAGAGCATTTGAACAACCAATAAAGAGCATTACAATAAGACCTAAGTTTGATAACAAAGCCAGAACTTAGAGAAGCAGCAACACCTTCTTTATGAGCTAAGTTCATCTATGAAGCAGCTTCTGGTTCCACAGCCCTACCCATCATATGGAAGATAACATCTCTAGTTTCACAGGTGTACACTCATATGAAAGGTCAAATCTCTAGTTTGACAGATAGTCACAACATTTAAGGAAGATCAAATCGCTAGTTTCACAAATAACCACATCATATGGAAGATATAATCTCTAGTTTCACTGAGATACAAGTCATATGGAAGATACAATCTACAACTTAAGAATATTTAATAAATGTTCAATTGAATGACATTTCATTAGGATTTGGCACACGTGTTATCTCTTTTTCCCACTATGTCTTGTTCAAGTACTGAGTTTCAATACATTCCCCGACACTAGCATCACTTGTGCTGGTTAAGTACTGAGTTTCAATAAATTCCCCAACACTGGCATCACTGGCTTAGTGCTGTCAGGGGCTAGCCAAAATTTTATTTCCCTTCCAAGACAAAAACAATTGGCCCGAATGCCCCCCCCCCCCAGTCATTCTCCTGTCATTCTGCCCTCGCCTTCCTAGGCTACTGGTCTGCGATAGAAATGATACAGTGTATTTTGATAAGGAATTAAATAACATCAGAAAAAGTATTGAAATATGACTCAATTCATTTTAAAAATTTATAAATTACTTTAAGCTTTCTATCAAAGAAATTTGTTGCAATATTTCATTATAAAAGTGTTGGACTGCAATAAAGCTTTAAAATAAATTAATTAGACACGAACAAATTTTGTCATTATAACAATATATGTTGAGCTTTGATAATACACAATACACAAGAAGACATAATACACAAGAAGACGTTTCGTCACATGCTTTAACAAGTATAACGACAAAACATTTAAATAAGTATAAATTAAATTTACATAATACGTATATACATATATTCTACCTAAAAAAAGAGAAAAATAGGAGTGGGCGCAAAAACCAGACAGAAACAAAGTAAAGAAGAATGGAAAGAAAGTGATTTGAAGTAAAATGTAAAAAAAACAAACAGGAAAAAGACATGGCAGCTACGTAAAATTGTGGATTTGGTTTATCCAGTATGGAGTTAACGTACCAAATCTTGTTATTAATTTATTCTCCATATAGATCCTGTCAGGTGTGTTATTAGTATACAGTATACCAGTAACTGCAATGTCTAAAATTCCATCATGGTTAGTGCTATTGAAATGTTTGGAGACCGGACAGAGAGCCTGTTTATTTATGTTATAGGTGTTCTCTAAACTGGTCTCCACTTGTGACATCCACTTGTCTAGCTACATGTGTCATCTATGAAAGTGCACCTACAGTGGGCACAATATTGATTGAGACAAAATATTTTTTGATGTGCTACACATTACAAAACTTCAGTGAACCTCTCTTATTCAGTTTGATGCACATATAAACTATATTTTGAAAAGCTTTGGTACACTATTAAGGCAGATCACCTATTTATTAAACTACAGTAACAAAGGCTGGGTGGGTCATTTCTTATAAAAAAAGTTTCAAGTGTAGTGATAAGAGATATTCCCTGCTTGATAAAAAAAAAATTATTATTTATGAAATTATTTGATAAGATACTCAATATTAACCAACTCCTGACCCATGTAAACTATTACATGTCTAAGCAAAGGGACACAACTCTATTTTTAACCTATATGTTATTTTCTTTAAAAAATGAACATTTAAAAAATAGAAAGTCATCATTTTAATAATTTTTTTATAAAGTATAAAATTTGATTATCACAATGCAAAGTAATGTTATCTAACATTAAAAGCTTTCCAATTTTAATATTTGCAGTTGAATTTCAAAATATTTTCACAAGTTGTGTTCCATCCATATGGACCCAGTAACAAAAATGCTAAAATTAAAATCTGTTAAACTAGAACTAAATAAACAGTTTCAGATTTAAATTTTACCATATGATTACTTTTATTACTATCCGAATTAATTTGAAAAGAATCTACATCACTCTAAATCAATCTACTGCACTTTACATCAATCTCTTCCACAAGTTTCATCATCTACTCTAGTAAACTTGCCATGTCACTGATAAAAAAAACAAACATTTGAATTTCTAAAAAAAAAAAAGAAGTGATGTTCTCTGTTCATCAGAATACCAGTACTCTTTAACAGTATTTTGTTTGGGATTTTATAGTCTAGGAGTCTTGAACTAGCATAATAACATAAATGGCTAAAGACTATAGTATAGACAGTTGTGCCTGCCAATTTGGGAGGACTAAAAGCAGGGATAGGGCCAGGAGATCAGATCAAATTCAGTATTATAATGATTTTAACCACTAAATACAGGAAAATCAAATTTGTATGAAAGCCTTACCTCTTTTAGTCCAGAGTGTTCCTTGCATGTCATGTACCAGCCTACAGTAGCCATCTATGAGATCAGCCATGTCCTCCACATCATCTAGTGTTTTACATGTAATGGTTAGAGGCTCTGAGGCACCCACTATTTTCAGCTGTACTACCCCCTTCCCATCATCCCCTGTCATGGTGTGTATGGACTGGACCTGAGCAAAGTCCGCCATGTGTGTGGGCTGAAAAAGTCAGGTAGAAATTATTACTTCATAGAATCCGAAATAATTACTTAAACACATGGTTTTCCCTCATACAATAATGCCATGATTTAAATTTTGCTGTGGCAGTTCTACAAGAGGCCAATTTCATATTGCTTAGTGATTTTTATATTAATTGTTTAGCAACTTTTTGATAAACTTTCTTGCTGAGAGTTCCTTGTGTACATAGTGTAAATTAAGTTTAGTTTTTACACTATGCAGTTCCTTAGAAGACTGTGTCCACCCTACTTCCTTTGTTATGTTCTTCTCTTAATATAACCCAACGCACTAGATGTCTTAGATCAACATAAAAAATGTAGCACGTATCTGATACAAATTACTACCATATTCCCAGCAACGTTAATTTGTTTGTCCACATAAACTAGTGAAAATCCTGACTTCAATCTGTTATATTAATACAAAACCAATTTGTATGAAGGAACCTTGTTTGAACTAAATTTATATCCATTGAAAGAAATGGAACATTGTTTTAAAGTGATTTCTGTCTAAGAGTGTTTATTTGGAATAAACTTACGTTTTAACAAGGAACAACATTCCTTCGTACAGATTAGTCTCATATGAATTTACAATAAACACTTTATTTCTGTGAGGGAGTCTCAAATTATGATGCCTTACCGTTGAAGCCTTCTCTGTTAAATAACTAATTCCAACATCAGGACCTATCACAATTTCAACAGAAATACTCCAACCAGACTGGAAAGGAAAAAAAAACAGATTGTGTTTAGATGTTAATATTTCATTATTTTGTCGTTGACATAAAAAGCAAGGTCTCATGGAAACTGATGATATCTCAAACTTTTATAATTTTCAAACCACTTTTACAGAATACAATTCAAGAGAAATAAGTGATTTTTCATTAAAGTGCTATCATTGAAACAAGCGACAGTCTTCCTTATTGTGCTAAACATATTTTGTTTTAATAAGCCACATGAGGTATTAAAGCTGTAACAAAGTAAATTGACATGAAAATCATGTTCCATTGCCCGATTAGACATACAAGACAAACTCATGTTTATATTATGGACATCCAAGATAAAGTCATTTATATATTCTACATACTACTTACCCCTAAGGCACATCTGAATCTTTCATGGTTAAAGTTGTACACAGTAAACAAAGTCTCAAAAAATTTAAAAACACACTCCGACTCGGTCAGCTGAGCGTAGTGACGAAACTGCTGCTGGATAACCTTGCGGAGCGCTTTGGACTGTGGAATAAAAAATTTGATACTGTTCTATAAAAGGTTGGAGGTTACAATAGGTTATTATAAGGGAAAGAGGTTTTAAAATACATTGAAACTCTGTGATCAGAAATGAAGACTGCTTACATGTTTTATTGTAAACATGAAAAGGAAAAAAAGAAAAAAATGCTTTATCCCTAGTGACGGGGTTTGTGGGGTAATTATCCTTTGAACCTGTGATACCACTTTATCATTGAACCTATGATGCCACTTTATCGGTCAGTGTGTTAAAAATTCACACCCACCAGACAAATATTTCGGTCTCAGATACCTTACCACAGGTAGGGGTTTACCATGCGATGCCTGAGAAAGGTTACTGTCATAGCCTCCCAAATGGAGAATTGTTTTTGTAATGTTTTCCAATGTACAGAGGAAAATGCAAAAGTTAGTCTGTAGGACTGAAACCGGAACAGCTTGATGATAATATAAATATATGTTTTGAAAAAAGATTATAATAAAAGTAAACAGACATTATTAGTGAGTGGTGGTATGTGTGCATTGGATAGTGCAGAAATAACATTGGACGTGCATAAACCTAATTTTAAATCCATCTTTTTTATGACAATTAGGAGTGTGAAAGTGACCATCTACTATGCTATACCGATTCAAAGACAATTTTCTCCCCATAATACAATTTATAATAGTAATGGAATAATGAAAAACAAATTTTGATTAGAATAAATAAAATGTATATAATTATAAAACCGTGGAATTTAGTATGCTTGTGTGTATGTCTGTGTTAATTTTCCCCAGGAGCCTAGATATTTTAGGGCCCCATACCAAGGTTTAACAGATGCTGAGAGCAAGTACATATTTTTGATAAAAGAGTTCTCACAAGCCTGGAATGAACCATGTTTATTTTCTACACAGAACAGTCTTATTATTCCAGAGTTCCAATGAAAATTAAAAGTGTCTGAAATTAAATAACAATAAATTAAGGTATTTGAATTAGTTTAAATCATCCCAATAACTGACTTTGTAAAAGTAATATTTTAGAATGATGATGTTAGTGAGAAACTTGTGACTTCACATAATGGATCTGATTTGTTAATGCCATAATGATTTCACGTAATTGATCAAATTTATTAATGCCACTTATGCCTTCACACAACAGATCAGATTTATAAATGCCATTTTTGATTTCACATCATAGATCAGATTTATTAATGCCACCTAAGAGATCAAATTTATTAATGCCACTTATGCCTTGACATAACGGATAAGGTTTATTCAAGGATTTATAGGGCTTATTTTTTAAAGAAACAACCCATGAAAGGGAGCAAACTAATTTTAGTCTTCACCTTCATACTGTCTATCACAGATTTGGGCAAGAAACGTTTCAGACCGACTTCCTTCTCCAGGTAGTCAAAGTTGGACTTCTTGTCTAAGGCAACTTGAGGCATGTCTTTGAAGAACCTTCTGTAGACAGAATATTAGATATGGTTAGATATACACATTAAAATATGTTATGGGTAGAATAGGCGCATAAGTCACAATAACCTTACACTATGTTACACGACAATAACTGACACAAGTTTGGAGAGGGGGGAGTGGGGGGTGTTGGTGAGAGAGAAAGTTGATGGGGGAAAAGATTATAAGTGACTTACCTCATTTCAATGCAACCCAATTTGATTGCTATTTCTGGATCTATATGGTCAGCAATTTCTTTCAGGTAATCTGATCTGACCTGAAACCATATTTAAAGATTTCCATCAGACAGCTCCATTTTATCACACACAGAAAAAAAGATGCATGAAAATGTTCTCTACAGCTTGTAACCTTATGAATACCTATGAAGCAATACAATTCTCCCACATTTTGTACTTAGCTTTGGTGTTTCCATCGTGAAAATTGTGCACAAGATCCTGTACATAATTTACATGGTTATTCAAAACATACATTTTGGACTTGTTAACAAGTGTCGTGATATAAAGGTTTGAGCAGTTCAATATTTGTAGGTGGGTAGATAAGTAGGTAGGTAGATATGCAGGTAGGCAGGCGATATGTAGAGGTTGGTATGTAGGTAGTTAAGTAGGTAGGTAGGCAGATATGTAGGTAGGTATGTCTAAGGTAGGTAGTTAGATATGTAGGTTAGGTACGTAGGCAAGTATGTAGCTATAGAAGTAGGTATGTACGTAGGTACACCTTGCATCTATTGACTATGTACTCCCTGTATCTATTGACTATGTACACCCTTTATCTATTGACTATGTACACTCTGTATATATTGACTATGTACACCCTTTATCTATTGACTATGTACACCTGTATCTATTGACTATGTACACCTGTATCTATTGACTTTATATGCATCCTGTATCTATTGACTTTATGTGCATCCTGTATCTATTGACTATATGTACACCCAGCATCTATTGAGTTTATGTACATCCTGTATCTATTCGACTACATACATCCTATATCTATTGACTATGTACACCCAGTATCTATTGACTTTATGTACACCCTGTATCTAACGTATTAAAACTGAAGACAAAAAGAGTCCCTTAATTAGGATCTCAATAACCCACTATTTTTCAATAAATAATTATTTATTACATTACAAAGAATTTCATTTTTTTCTTGATGTACCTGATCATAGAGATAGAAAAATGTGACCTTGTCACGTTGATGGAGTTCTTGAAAACTTTTTGGTAAATAACGCACCCTCAATTCATATCTGAGGGAAGAGGAAAATAAATAAGAGGACAGTACATTAGAGGGTATATGTATACTGTTCCATCCATTGCATAAGTGAGAGAATCCTGTCATCTTGAATGTTCACACATTGTAAAATTGAGATGAGATTTTTATTTAATTGAAAGGATAACATGTAGCGGCCCAACTGTTTGTCAATAGATCAATGTTCAGTTCCCCCCCCTCCCCCATTATTACAGTGTTATAGAAATGCTCTAACAAATTGTAGAATAATGACAGAAACCTTTCTTTGACATTAACTATATTAAATTGTAAGATGACCCTTTTTTTTTTTTTTTAAAATTGTCTCATTGGATTGTTCCTTCTCAACGTACCTCAGATCATCAGGTAAAAACTTCGCCTCGTACTTCTATTATAGAAATGCTCTAACAAATTGTAGAATAATGACAGAAACCTTTCTTTGACATTAACTATATTAAATTGTAAGATGACCCTTTTTTTTTTTTTTAAAATTGTCTCACTGGATTGTTCCTTCTCAACGTACCTCAGATCATCAGGTAAAAACTTCGCCTCGTACTTCTGTCTGACCTGGTACATGCTGAGGTCATTGTGTAGCCAAAAACTCAGCCTCTGAGATATTACGACAAGTCTCAGGGCAAAGCATCTTGCAAACAGGCGATCACCAGCTGCCAGTCGGCCAACCACTAGTTTGATTATATCCTGATGATTGTGAAAATGAAATAGAATTTTATTAAAAGTGGATTGGATATCCAATCATATTTTATAAGCTATCAAAACCAAGGTGCAAACTGGCATTCTCTGCTAGAAAAACCAAAAACTCTGTTGATAAGGTTCTGACATAAAAGTCATAAGAAAAGGAATATTTTCAACTGATATATGTAATATCTTAGGTCATATTTCAAGTTAGATAATAAGGTCATATTTTATTAGATTATATTTCATGAGGTCATATTTCATCAGGTTAATAAAATTCATTTTTGAATTTGTTATTGGTTATCGTTTTGAATACTTAGCAGGGGATTTTAACAGTTTAATCCAAGTTTGAATTAATTATTTTTATTTTTCAGATAATAGCATTTTTATACATATGACAGTTTTAAAGTCACATTTTATAGTCATATTTTACATATATACTATGACAAACAAATTTCATAAAAAATGGTAGGGCGATGATAGAACTCCTTAATATCACTATGCTATTATATGGTAGGAAGGTCTGTTAAAAAATTTTGTGCACTAACAATTTGTTTTTTTTCCTTGTTACAAGCAGTCAGAAAACTGGCAATAAAATATATAACTAATTAACTATCTGAAATGAAACACGGCTGTTGCAATCCCCAATTCAGGTAGAGAAATTTAGAAATGTGAACCACCATTTATGGCATTCATAATGTGGAACTTGATCTGACTTGATGAGATGAGACTAATCCTCCTAGAGGAGAGAAATCTTTTGAGAGAAGACAAATCTTTCAAGAGAAGACAAATCTTTCAAGAGAAGACAAATCTTTCTATTTGTATCTAATACTCATTGAAACAATGGCAAAATTTTCACTATCATCTTTATTGTTCTGTCAAGCTAATGTTGGTTGATAGATTATCAACTAAAATACTAAAAGTCAGTTCTTGGATTATACAGGATTAAGTAAGAAATCTAGATGGCCCATAATATACTGGATTCTCTAAGATTTACTAAAATCTATGTCTGACAATGAAGTGTTAAAGTTCAATGCACATGCCGATAACCAGATCACCAATAAAACAAACTAAAGAGTACATTTTACAACACGTGCTCCTACCTTGACATCAGTAGCATCCCCATACTTGACCATGTTAAATCCTCCATTGGGAAGATGGAGTTTCAGAATAGAACGGTCTATAGGTTGCTGCAGCATTCTGCTCCCTCATCTAATTGTCGGCGGGAGTAGTTGCACTTGTTTCTTGGTATACTCTTAAGTTGGATAGTTCCTGGTCTTGATGACGATTGCATTCAGTTGACCTCATGACCATAGTGGCATGCTAAAAAAAAAAAAGTAAACATTAAGTAAATAAAAAGCATCATAATACTGTCCAGTTACATTGAGACTTCATTCATTTCAAAATTTAACCTCCTCTTTATTTGTTCTATATTCTGTAGACATGTGTATTAACTAGCTCTATATTTTTAACTTCTTTCCACATACAAGTGATGCCGCTATATTAAAGTATTGTTGTTTAAACAGAGATGATATGATCTGTACTTATTTAAAGTGTTGTTTAACCAGAGATGATATGTGCTGTACTCATTTACAGCATTGTTCTTGAAAAAGAGATGATGTGAGCTGCACTTATATAAAGTTCTTTAGCTGATCCAATTTAAACCAGCCACCAAGAAACAACAAAATTAGTTATGAACAATGATTTCTTAACTTTAAAAAATCAATTTACAAGGATTGTTTATCTTCACAAAACAATGAGAAGTAATTAAGTGGGCAGTATTAAAAGTACCATTCACAGCTCATAAAGTTTAACAATCCTTGAGGTTATATTGTATCTCCAATAAACTTGCAGTACCAGCCACCTCAATTATGAATATTTGCTTGCACATGTCAAGAGCTGGCACTGAGGCAACATAACAGTGAAATGTCAGGGCAGCATAACTGTCATATGTGCCCAGGTGCCATTGGGTGCAGGTAAAGGGCGGGTTAGGTGTAAAACAAAATGTGGGTGTGTTGGGGTAGAATATCAGTGAGTTGGTAAGCCTATTAGACAAATCAGCTACTGCCAACAATGCTGTGGAAGGGTCACATTACATTACAGCAGGAGAACCCCTGAACCCACGAAGAAAAACTAACCTCAAGCAAGAGGATCTAATTAATGATTTTCCTGGGGGCTGAAAGCTCAAGAACACACATCATTTGGAAGGCTTGTTTGAAATAGTTGATATGAAAGGGAGAATACCCAGACAGTGAGTAGGACAAAGACGGTGGGAGGATAAGGTGAGGAAATCAATGTTGCACGTGTGTTGCACTTCACTGGGCCTCGTACGTTTTTTTATGCTTCAAAATACGATGTCTTAACATCTCAGTGGCTCTCAAATTTTTAATGGTATACCCTCCTGAATGTATGAAAGAGCTAACATTTGTATTGGTGTTTATTAGTTTTGAGGGGTGTTCTCTCTGTGTGATTGTGTGACAGTGGGGTGCAATGAGTGGGTGGGTGGGTGGGTGCAGTGGATGTTTGTTGTGTGAGGTGTTTGGGTAGGTGTGTGTGGTGTATAGGTTGGTGTGTGCAATGGGTGTTTGAAATGGTGTGTGAGGTGAGGTGCTTGGGTTGGTGAGTGTGGTTCGTGTTTGTAATGGTGTGAGTTGTTTAGTTTGGTGTGTGATGTGTCCGGGTTGGTGTAAGGCGTTTAAGTTTGTGTGTGGTGGGTGTTTATAATGGTGTTTGAGTGTGTGTTAGGGTTGGTGTATGCAGTGGGTGTTTGGGTTGGTGTATGCGTGGGTTCCTAGTTGTGCACTCTTGATATTATTTGAAGTCAACATTTCTTTAAGTATTTTGAGTTTTATATGATTTTTGTGAAGCTATACTAAATTCATCTATTCGGTGTGTTCCTAAATAAAACCCTCATTAAAGAATGAATAAAGAAAGTGGCTCTTACTGTAATTTAAAATATGGACCAGTGAATCCAACAACATGGCAACTCTGATTCCAGGAGAAGTTTTTTTCAGTGCTAATGGATTAATTGATCTCATTAGCTGTTGTATACTGTAAATGATAGGACAGGGTAACACTAACACTAGTAAAGTAATACCAAGGTGGTAGAGCTGACCATGCCTCTAAAATATTAACACTAGTGTTTTAATAAAAAGGGGTAGAGTCCACCATGCCAATTGTTAAACTAACTCTGATATAATAATAATAATAAAGTTCATTTCAAAAACACGCTTCATCCCCAAAGGCTCGAAGCGCGGTACAAAGTCAACAAAAAACAAATCTATAATTTACCACATTTAAAACAAACGCAACACTACAAAAACTAATAACAAGCATACAATGTCAAAGTCTTTCTAATACCACATTTAAAACAAACGCAACACTACAAAAACTAATACCAAGGAGAGGGGGGGGGGGGTCGACCTTTCCACTGTAACTCTCACACTAATATATAAACACCGAGGTGGTAAAGTGGACCTTGCAACTTTAAATCTAACACTTGTATATGAATACCAAGGTGGCAGGGTCGGCTGTGCCACTGTAACAAGAGCTCAGAAAGCAAACAATGAATATTTCCAGGACTGCGCCAGTTATTGCTCACACGCTGTCTATGACTCATTAAACAATAAGGTAAGAGCAGCTTTTAGACGTCCGTCCAACAGGCGAAAGATAGAATTTCAATCAAGAAAGAAGGGGAAAAAAGCAACACAAGCTCTTCTTATGTTGCAATGATAAAAAATGAAGATCATTTGTGATTCGGGAAACTAAAGCAGCACTAAACAGAACAATCCAATGTACATATAACTCAAACAGAGCAATCCCATATACTTATATTATAATTAATTTGCAACCATCACCATCCTACATTTCATTGAATTGGTCTTACCATCCATTCTGCTTTTCATTGAATTGGTCCTACCATCCATTCTACAAGTCATTAAATTGGTCCTACCATCCATTCAATATTTTATTGACATGGTCCTACCTTCCATACTACTTTTCATTGAATTGGTCCTATATCCATTCTACATTTCTTTGACTTGGTCCTACCATCCACTTTACATTTCTTTGACTTGGTCCTACCATCCCTTCTACATGTAATTGAATTGGTCCTTTCCTCCATTCTACATTTTCTTTAATCTGTTCTCCCATACATAAAATAATAGCAGAAAAATGTGTTTAATATGACGAAGAAGTGTTATTTAGTCTGGAAAATTTTAATTCTCATCGTATCATTCTCATATGCTGTATTTTTGCGAGGACCACAGTTCACGTTGCCTGGTTCAGAAGCCCAGTTTTCACTTGGTTTATCAGCTGCAAACTCCCAAGACGCAATGAGAGCACAACACATATTAAGACGTTCTTATTGCCGTTTCTGTCCCTCACCACCCCAACCCAGCCACACTGCCATTCAGCTTTCCTTGCTTCTGATGCGTACCCGACGACGGCCGGCGGGACGATATTGCCCATTTTGAGGGCCACTGATGTACAGACCCCACCCCCTTTTAGACTGAAGTAATACAAGTGATGAGTTTACCAGTGTTTTCTTTTTTTTTCTATATTGTTGAAGACATCCATGCTCCTGACCATTCCACCAGACCTTGACTGGCTTGGGACACCGTATAAACAAGATGACTAGACAGCTAGTCCTTTCTTCTATTACCCTCACAGTTTCACCTTTAAATTTTCCAACACACAGCAGCGTGGATATTTTGATGCGATGAATCCACTGAACCAAGGCGGCACATCGCCCATGATCAATAACATCGTTCTAGATGTATTTATTCATCTTTTTTGTTTTCAATTTTTTTTTGTGTGTGTGTCAAGTATACATTTTGTCTGGTCTGGTAACATAAACACTTTTTTAAAGTTTGAATTTTAGTGGATGGTAAGAAATGTTGCACAGTTAGTTGTCAGCATTTAGGTTCGAGGAAAGGTAAAAGTTGCTATTACGCTAAAAAATATATAGTTGGGAGGAGCCCCCCCCCCCTGCCTTAGTTTAGAGCCGTTTTATACGCCTATGGGTAGAAACTCTGCATTCTCTGTGATAGAGATCAGGCACGCGTCTCTCTCACAGCCTCCACTCCGGCCACAAGTCTATTTAATGTTTCCGCAAACAGGATCTGATAAGATTGAGCTGTGGCTGGATTGTATGTGCTAGCACAGTCAGATGTGGTACTAGCAGTCAGATGTGGTACTAGCACAGTCAGATGTGATACTAGCACAGTCAGATGTGATACTAGCACAGTCAGATGTGATACTAGCACAGTCAGATGTGATACTAGCACAGTCAGATGTGATACTAGCACAGTCAGATGGGATACTAACACTGTCAGATGTGATACTAACACTGTCAGATGTGATACTATCACAGTCAGATGTGATACTAACACTTGTGAAACTTGTTATTCAACAGAAAGTTGAAAAGATTTGAATCAACTTGAAACAAATGTGGTTAAGTCAGGGACATTAACTTAACAGACCCAATCAACGTCAAACTGTGGCGGCATGTGTAAGAAATTAAAACACATAACTCCCATCGTTAGGGACTCAACTAAGCAGTGACAGAGTAGCAGTATTTGTACAGTAACAATAGAGTACCGGTGGCAGTCTTTGAACAGTAATACAGAGTAGCAGGCGTTGTACAGTAAAACAGAGTGGCAGGCGCTGTACAGTAACACAATAGTAGCAGTCGTTGTACCGTAACACAGAGTAGCAGGCGTTGTACAGTAAAACTGAATAGAGGGCATTGTTTGGGGTCAACTGACAAGCAATGGTTAACGGTTAAGAATCACTACTTCAGTTTACTGGACAAGACAAGAATCAAGTGGGTCGTGGGCATTGTTTGGGGTCAGCTGGCAAGCAATGGTTAATGGTTAAGAATCACTACTTCAGTTCAATGGACAAGACAAGAATCAAATGGGACGTGGGCATTGTTTGGGGTCAGCTGGCAAGCAATGGTTAACGGTTAAGAATCACTACTTCAGTTTACTGGACAAGACAAGAATCAATTGGGACGTGGGCATTGTTTGGGGTCAGCTGGCAAGCAATGGTTAACGGTTAAGAATCACTACTTCAGATTACTGGACAAGACAAGAATCAATTGGGACGTGGGCATTGTTTGGGGTCAGCTGGCAAGCAATGGTTAACGGTTAAGAATCACTACTTCAGATTACTAGACAAGACAAGAATCAAGTGGGACGTGACTTCAAAAATGATAATGCAGCAAGCATCCCACCCCCCAACACTTAAGTGACTCACATTTCAGTGCACCATGCTTAGTAGTAATTAGCAGCATATAAACTATTATAAACCTATTCGCGAC